CAGAAGGATAAGCGGTTTAGATGATGTATGTACGTATGTATAACATTCGAAAATCAATACAATTGAATAATATCTGTTAGTTTATTATAGTTTATTGAGAGTATTATGATTATAAATGATTATCACATTCCAAAATCTATGCAGTTGAATGGTATTCTTAGTTTGTTGAATTTTTTTTTAATTATAAACAGCTATAACATTGCTCTATTATATATATATCATGTTATATATGTGATATTTATTAATTGATCATAATCGAATATAACATTGTGAAACTGAATCATCACCTCCGTAATAAGAGTGTGAGAGCGGAAGAAGTGTTGTTGACGTAAATACACACAAAACAGATGCTTCCTTATCCCAGATCAGCTGAGGGCCAAAGGCGGCGTGTTGATGGACACTGAGTGGACCGGAGCAGGCAGATCAATGCCGAATAACAAGAGACTCCGTGACATTATTGAGCGAGTAAAGCAGGCGGCGGCGTATCGCCAGAGATCGATGCCGGGATACGAGCCGTTGTCACCGGAGCCGAGGGCGACGGCCTTTACGACAGAAAGAGAAACGGGGCCATCTCCGGCCCCCGGGGTAATCCGGCCCGGTCCGAATAAAGAACTCGATACTGGCCTCGGGGAGGAGCGGACAGACAGCGTCTTTCATCCTCCACTGCAAATACGCACAAACAAGCTTCTGTAGGACTTTGTGTGGAGTCAGTACATCTAAATCAGCCCCGACTGGGTGGGCGTTCTTTACGAGAAAGGCCTCAGGGTGACATCTCTAGTCTCCAGTGAAGGACTAGTTCACCGAAAAATAGAATTTACTCAGTTTACCTTAGATGTAGAGGATCAGCCAAGACGTGATTGGTGCCTGAAATGTACTTCTTTAGTTTTGCAGTGGCTAATGTAGCTAACAGGTAATAGAAGCTTATGTACACCAATTAGCAATTGCCAAAATCATCAAAAAACCTGCCTCAAACTGGGTCAAATATCAGACAGTAAGTAAGTTAATATTTGTTTAAAAGCACATTCGAACACATTCAAAAGGACGAAACAGGACAACATCTAATGTATAACAAAACATAAACACAGCAGCGATCAGTTTACAGAGACAAAGCTGATCGATAAAAATAGGTGTTTAATCTAGACTTAAAAGCATCAGTAGAGGGTGCAGACCTAATGTCCTGGTGTTTCAGCCAGGACCGTGGCACATTCAGTAGCAGCTGATTTGATGACCTCAAGGACCTGGACGCTGGATAGAGTTGAAGCAGATCTCCTATGTAGGACAGTTCCACTCCATTTAATGACTTAAAAACAAATAGGAGAATTTTGGATCCTATAGTATACAGGAAGCCAGTGAAAGGATGCCAAAATGGGAGTAATGTGGTCCTTTTTTTTGTGCCTGTGAGAAGACGAGCTGACGCGTTTTGGACTAACTGCAAACGAGCTATTCAGGATTTACTAACACCCAAATACAAGCTGTTGCAGTAGTCTGAGCGAGATGTAATAAAAGCGTGGATGACCTTTTATATAGTAATATCCTTGGGGTGACAGGAATGCCTTAATCTTGGAGGCTGATCTCATTTGGTAAAGTCTAAAGTAGTCTTTCTTATAATAAAATAGTCTTAAAATAGCCTTTCTTATAATAATAATAATATTAATAATAATAATACTTAACAAAGAATAGCAGAGAAGATAAGTAGTGAAGATTATTGCTAAAACACATACTCAGAATTAACTGTAATAGTAATACAAACTCCATAATAATAATAATGATAATAATATTAAGAATAATAATAAACACTGAGTTGTAATCCACAGATGTAATGCTGGGTTTAGTTTTTATGCTGATGTTACACAGATATACATGATTTGTCACTATGTGAACTTCTGTTATCTCTAACAAGGTCATACGGTGTGATCGATCTGAAGCGCCACTCTTATAGCGTCTGTATCTGTGGAGAGTCTCTCAGTGAGGAGTTCCGTGATGGCGCTTTACATGTAAACATGTGCAGGTGTTCAGACAGACGGCTGTATGAAGACTGTCTCTGCTGTTCTAGCTGTGCTGATGTGCTGGGCCCTGTTTGTAGACAGCAGTGTGCGGTACAGTGTGTGGTGTGTTTGAGGTGACTGAACTCCACAGATTTAGGCTGGTTTGGTGTGTGTGTGGGTGTGTGTGTGTGTGTGAAAGCTCTCTCTGAGTCGTGTGTGTTTCAGGTTTCGGCACTGTTGCAGCAGAGCTCACATTCATGTTCTATTCTGTAAGTTCACTGCTGAATATGCTGGACCTGTCCAGCAGTGCCTCTCTATCTGTCTCTCTCTCTCTCTCTCTCTCTCTCTATATATATATATATATATATATATACATACATAAAAATATGTCTTACTCTGTCTATGTCTATGTGTCTCTCTGTCTCTCTCTATGTCTGTATCTCTCTGTATATGTCTCTGCCTCTCTCTATGTGTCTCTCTGTCTATGTCTCTGTCTCTCTTTCCTCTCTCTTTTGCTGTCTCACTCGCTCTCTCTGTTTCTCTCTTTTACTCTTATCTCACACTCTCTCGCTCTTTCACCCTCTTTCTTCTATCTCTCTTTTACTCTTATCTCACACTCACTCTCTCTACTCTTTTTTGCTTTCTCTCACACTCTCTTACTCTCTCTCTCGCCACTCTCTTTTGCTTTCTTTCACACTCTCTACTCTCTCTCTTTCAGTCTCTCTCTCTCTCTCTCTCTCTCTCTCTGTGTATAAATTAACAGACACTGGCTGAAGTGCTACACAACAATACAAAGTAAATTCAGTAATAAGAAGCTGCAGTTATGGTGAATGTGTTGAAAAAGAGGTGAAAGTTTAGAATAAAGTTTTTAAAAAGACGAATAACAGTGAGGGAGAAATATTATTTTCCCCCGATGGATATTAATTGGGTCTTATGAGCCGTCTGAATGTGCCCCCCCGTCTGAGATGTTCCTGAGCTCACTTTGTGACGTTTGTTTGACGGAGTCACTGTTACCGTGGCGTTTTGCTCTGTCTGTAAAGTGAAGTGGTGGGAAATGAATTTTAATTCGGGGGCTTGTGCTTGCCCACCTCTTTTACTGTGCTCTGTGGGAGACTGGAAATCCTCCGCGCTCCATCCCTGCTCCTTCTGCGTCGCTCTTTCAGTGTGTCGGGTTGCTATAGAAACAAAGCCTCTCCTGAAGGTGGATTCTGGTCCTGCGGTGTGCCGGGGAGCGGATCCTGTACAACATAAATAAGGCCTTTTCCTGAAAGCACTGAGCAGAATACATGAGTTCTGTTCTTTTAACCCTTGTGTGGTGTTGGTGTGTGTGTTCCTCAGTGGTCTGGTGGACCCACCACATTATTGTTTATTTAAATCAATACAGCAATAACAATTTATGTAAAAATACCAGATGTTTAAAATATCACAAGTGTCCAGTGTAGGGTTCTCCTTTAGCAGCTGTAACCAGTCAGCAGCCTGTCCATGTTGTCCACCCTCACACACACACAGACACACACGCACTAACAGCAGGCCATGTAGGAGGAGAACAGAGTGAAGGACACAGCACCTCCACACTTTTACTCCCCGCGGGTTGAGCCAACACCACATGTGTGATATAGATGGGTTATTTAATATGTTCTTCACAGAAAATGAGCAAAGGCCAAGAAATTTGAGGTTCAAATAATGTTATAAAAACGGATAGTTCCGGTCCTAAAATCTGATTGGCTGAGCTGTGTTCAAAGCTGCTGTAAAATCCATGATATAACCACACCTGACCGCCTCACAGTGACTGAACTCTGTATCACTGCGCCACAGCATGAAAAACCCAACTGCTGTTAATGGAATAGTCTTTGACTCTCATGCTGCTCACATGGAGCACCGAGTGTACTGATGAAGTAACAACCTGTTTTGTGTTTAAACTGAGGGGCTGACGACTTATGTTCTTAACTAGAACCGGGCTGGTCAGCTAGCTAACAGACTAAAAGAGCCAACAGCCTAAACAGCTCCATCATTAATATCACAGGCTTGAATTAAAGCACTTACAGTCTGATTAACTGTAAAACTGCAGTATAAAAGTCTACAAATGTCACTTGAATGAATTAAAATGCTTCAAAAGTCCGTGTTTCAGTCAGAAGTCACGTCAAACCCAGGCTGAATCCCAAACGGCTCCGTACTCCCTAAATAGTGTTCTAGCTATGAAAGTTTAGAAATTCTAGCCTCTACAGCCAAACAGTGCATCATTTATCGAGTGTGGATGTGTCTGAGTCCCAAATGACTGTTTCTTAGCTGTATTTTGCTCTGTTGGGCTGCAGGATCCAGTATTTAAACTCCTACGTAGTGCACTATGTAGGGAGCAGAGAGCCGTTTGCGATTCAGCCCCAGCATGAGAAGAGGGCGCCGCTGGATTGGCGCTAAATGAGACTCGTGATGGTGATTTAGTGACCAAAAAGTTCTTATAAAAGCGAAAGTTTTTGCATTAAACAGTGCTGTATTTTCATAAGTTCATTGTTATACGAAAATCTTAAAATCTTAAAAAAATTCCTGAAATGACTGCAGTATACAGCGATGGGCGACCGAATGCTCTCCTCATTCAGCTGTCCATGGTTGCTTGGCAACGATACCGTACTGCAAAGGAACTACATTTCTTGGCAGAGTACTTGTTTATGTCAATTATTATTAATAATACCTTAAATTATTTTCAGAAAAGTCATGTTTTTATCATATTTTATGTTGGCCGCCATCTTATAAAAGCAATAAGCCACTTGAGGCTGTGGGTTACTGCGATTTTGTAACAGTAAGGGAGTTTTAGGCGCTCCACTTGTTGTGCCTAAGAACCCCCTTCCCGTGATGAAATCGCAGTAACCCACAGCCTCAGGTGTCTTATTGCTTTAATGAATTGCATAATTTTTTTCTTTTGGTAAACATTGAAAATGGTACAGACCTGAACACCACACAAGGGTTACGTTTCCTCACTCACTCCCTCTTTCTCTTTACCTCTCCCTCTCCTCCCTGCAGTCCATCGATCCCGGCCAGCAGTTCACCTGGGAGAACTCCAACATGGAGGTCAACAAGCCTAAGAACCGCTATGCTAACGTCATCGCCTACGACCACTCCAGAGTCGTCCTGACCTCAGTGGACGGTGAGAGTTGATGACTTACTTGATATTAAAACCTCATATCTACAACAAGGTAACTTTACAGTACACGCTTAAAAAAGATGGTTCTTCAAGGGTTCCTTAATTAGAATTATGGTTCTATATGAAACCATGAACACTCAAAGAACCCTTTGCATGATTAAAGGGTTCTTTGCATTGTGAGCTTGAAGGAGAATGTGCTATAGATGGTTCTGTGTAGAACCTTCTTGTAAAGGGTTCTATATAACACTTCTATTAAAAGCTTGACATCGTAACAAGTTCTGTATAGAACCATATGCAACACATTCACCGTCAACCTGTGTTATATATGGTTCTATTTAGCACCAAAAAGGGTTCTTGTATAGTTACAAGCTCGACATCGTCACCTCAGAACCCTTTTTGGTGCCATACGGAACCATTTTTGAAAGGTTTCTACATGGAGGCATATACAACACATTCTCCATCAACCTTCAAGGGTTCTTCTGTAAAGACAGTGGTTCTGTATAGAACCGTTGCACCATGCAGAGAACCCTTTAATCATGCAAAGAGTTCTTTGAGTGTTTATGGTTCCATACAGAACCACTTTCTTCACTAAATAACCCGCAAAGAACCATCATTTTTAAGAGTGTAGAAGGAAAAACGTCCTTAACTTTTAATGGAACTTAATGGAGTAATAATAATATCTAACAATAATAATAATAATTTATTCCAAGTCATTTTGAGCCGTTTCTGTTGATCCATTCATCATGATATTTTGACACACTGTAAACGGCAGCTGGTATGTTTTACCTATAGCTTGTTAAACACTTGTTCGGGTGACCGAAGCCACTGTGTGCTTATTAAACTCTCCACTCTCACTGCAGCTGTTCCAGGTAGCGACTACATCAACTCTAACTACATCGACGGCTACCGTAAGCAGAACGCTTACATCGCCACCCAGGGCCCACTGCCCGAGACGCTGAGTGACTTCTGGAGGATGGTGTGGGAGCAGAGGACCAGCACCATCGTTATGATGACCAGACTAGAGGAGAAGTCAAGAGTGAGTCTGCTGTTTTAGTTGTTGGCGGTGCTCGATAACTGTTTAAGTGTATTTGTAGTCATTAGCTGTTACACCAGTAAATTAGACTTGGCTACATTAACTTGTAGTGAGGAAATGAATGCAGACGTAAAATGAATCAGTTGCAACAGACTTGCTGGAAAAAAGAGTTTGATCACAAGTACACACAAATGTGGAAGCCTATTTCTGCTGTCTGGGAACAAAAACACAATGTAATGTGTCACAATAATAAGATTTTCATAATAATGAATCACTATCTCATAGTTACGAGTTAGTATCTCATAATTAAAGCTTAAGATCTCATAATAATGAAAAAAATGCCATCATTATTGAGTAATTAAATCATAAATATGACATATTAAGTCATGATTATGAGATGGTTAGTCATTATAATGAGATACTAAGTTGTAATTATGAGATAATAAGTCATAACTATGAGATACCAAGTCAAAATTATGAAAACATTCTCCATATCATGAGTTCTTATTATTATGAGTTAGCAAGTCATAATTATGAGACACTGTTATAATTGAGATATTACCTCAATATTATGAGATAGCAAGTCATAATTATGAGATAATAAGTGATGATTATGGACACTAAGTCAAAATTATGAGAAACATTCTCCCTATAACGTGATCTCATTATTGAGTTAGCAAGTCATAATTATGAGACACTAAGTTAAAATTGAGATATTATCTCAATATTATGAGATAGTAAGTAATGATAATGAGATAATGTCATAATTATGAGATACCAAGTCAAAATTATGAGAAACATTTTCCATATCATGCAATCTCATTATTATGAGTTAGTAAGTCATAATTTCGAGACACTAAGTCATAATTATGAGATATTACCTCAATATTATGAGATAGCAAGTCATAATTATAAGATGCCACTATGATACTTTCTTATTGTTATGACTTTGTTATGAAGCTAGAAACCACAGTTCAGCATGATGGGATTTACACAATGTTGTTCGATGACTGTTTATTTTCATTCATTGTGAGCAGCGTTAGCATTTTTCATGAAACTATCCCTTTAAAAATAACTGTAAAAAAACATCATCAAAAGCATCATTTGACACAATATACATATAAATAAAAAAACAGCACCATTTTCTGTTCAGGCTAACTGTCCAATAGTACAAATAGCACATTAAAAATACCGTTTTTCATGGGTGCTACATTATAATGGTTCATGACTGTCCTCACTCCACCTAAAAGCCTGTTGGAAAAATGTCAGTAAGAACTTTATAGTTGTGTGAGGCTGGTCTCGCCTCGCTGTCCGTGTTTGCCCTCTCCCACACGCGCTGCTGTACGGCAGCAGGTCAGAAACCAGCGGACGGCCCGTCCTCCTCACCTCCGAAATGTCACGCCTGCCAGCCGGCGGCTGCGGTTCCTCAGCCTGAGGAAATTGCGCTCTCAGATTGAGATGATGGACGGAAGGTCAGATTGGAGATAAAGGAACATGGAGCAGAGGAAGACGGCGGAGTGAAAGGAGCACGTCTATTGACTCAGCAGCGGCGGGACACAAACTGATAGCCTCATATGTAGAATCCTCGACCTGCTCTGTGATTCGACATGCTGCACAGAGCTGTGACTGTTTACACATCTACATACCCCCCACTGTCAGCACCATTAAAGGGCAGATATCCAACATTTTATTTCAGCATTTTCACCTGAAAAATGTTTCATCACTTTCTTATAACTTCAGTAGGTCCACCCAGTGCTACACTGCACTTTAACTGGAATGGGCAGGGCTAAACTGCTGTAGCTGAATGGGTGGGGCTAAAGTGCAGTAGACTGAATGGGTGGGGCTAAAGTGCAGTAGACTGAATGGGTGGGGCCAAAGTGCAATGGGCTAAATGGGTGGGGCTAAACTGCTGTAGGCTGAATGGGTGGGGCTAAACTGCAATAGACTGAATGGGTGGGGCTAAACTGCTGTATGCTGAAAGGGTGGGGCTAAACTGCTGTAGGCTGAAAGGGTGGGGCTAAACTGCAATAGGCTGAATGGGTGGGGCTAAACTGCTGTAGCTGAATGGGTGGGGCTAAACTGCAATAGGCTGAATGGGTGGGGCTAAACTGCAATAGGCTGAATGGGTGGGGCTAAACTGCTGTAGGCTGAATGGGTGGGGCTAAACTGCTGTAGGCTGAATGGGTGGGGCTAAACTGCTGTAGGCTGAATGGGTGGGGCCTAAACTGCTTTAGACAGTGGTTGGGGCTATACTATGATAGGCTGAGTGGGCGGGGTTACCCTTTGATAGGCTGAATGGGTGGTCATATGTAAAATTGTTCATGGCTGTGACATCACAACCATGATGAATTCTAAACAGGCTGTTTCTTCAGCGTAGTGTCCATGTATGATCTGGTCACATCCGCTTTGTCCTTTTCTAATTGTTTCACTTGAAAGACGTGCAGAAAAAGGCAGAATTTGAAATTCTAATGTGAAGATCAGACTGTGTGCTCTTCTTAAACAGCACTGCTTTTCTCTCCGGCCTCTATCAGCTCTGCTCTGGATTCAGAGAAGTTTTTGTCCTTGTGAGTTATGAGGCCAGGTGGCGTCCCCTTCTGTTTCAATAGGCTGTCCTGGAAGACTCATTGAGAGGTTTCAGAAACGCAGTAATAGGTTGTATTTTAAACAATAGATTTAAATAGTGAACATTTGTGCTGTAAGTGGTTTATGACAGGCATTTTTTTAAATGTACTTTATTCTGACAGCTTCTCTCTGACCCCTCCCCTCTCTGAACAGGTAAAGTGTGACCAGTACTGGCCTATTCGAGGCACAGAGACTTACGGGATGATCCAGGTGACCATGTTGGACACGGTCGAGCTGGCCACGTACAGCGTGCGCACTTTTGCGCTTTATAAGGTAAAAACCCACTGACCTCTGTTTTTGTATTTTTGTTAAAATATCTGCAAAAAAATAGCTTGAAATGTGCAAAAAAATGGAAATCAGTATCAGCTGTAGGGCTCTGAATACTTTCTGCTTCATTTTTTAGTATTGTGTTGAATAAGTAGAACAAAATAAGTGTGTTTTGTAATATACAAGCATTTCGCTGCTGTCGGAAGAAAACCTTGTATCTCCAAAATGGTGACTTTACAGGAGAAGGAAAAAACACACTTTACTTTTAATGGAAGTCAGTGGAACCAGAGTTTTTTCCAAGTGATTTTGGGTCGTTTCTTTTGGTCCATTCATCGTGAAATTTATACACAATATAAAGGACAACAGGTATTTTCAAATTATATCAAAAACTGAAAAATAGAGATGCGAGGTTCTCTTCCAGCAGCCGCGATAAGTAGTGTATATACTAAATAAAATAGAATATCTATGTATTAAATGTACTTAAATATTACAGAATGGACTTTGTTCTCTTTATAATTTCTTTTATCTTTATTTCATTATATTTTATAACTGTATCCCAGCTTCTGTATAATTATTTAGTTGAGTTTTAATGTAGGTTAAGCTTCACTGTTTAATTGAATTGCCTTTTATTCCTCATTATTTCTCCCGGTTATTTTCAATCTGTGGTCAACGTCTTGTTTTTAAATGTGCTTTTAAATGTCCTGAATTCACTTTGGTCCATTTTTCTGGAGCAGAACGGTTCCAGCGAGAAGCGCGAGGTCAGGCAGTTCCAGTTCATGGCCTGGCCGGACCACGGAGTGCCTGAATATCCGACCCCCATCCTGGCCTTCCTGCGCAGGGTGAAAGCCTGTAACCCTCCGGACGCCGGGCCCATGGTGGTGCACTGCAGGTGAGCTGAAAACACACCGCAGCTCAGCGCTGACCTTTTCAGCACGTCGGCTCACGTTATTTAGACGCCGGCTGGTCCGGCAGGCTCTCGCTGCAACAAGCGCTGCTTTAAAATGATCGAGGCAGATCCGGCCGCAGAGCTAACCCGTCACTGCGGTGCGTCTGAGCCAGACCGTCAGTGAGATAACCTTTCGGGTCTCTGGTGGTTAACCCCTTAAGCTTCTCCGTGTGTCCACAGACTAAGGCCTAACAGTAGATAATCGCATGAAAAACAGTGAAACATTTCCGTTAATTGTGATTTTAACTGCACCTTTTGGTGCCGCGTGTATTTATTATTTGAAGTGAAATGTCTTTATCCTAAAAAGTGTGTTTATATGGAGAACCAGATATTTGTTTGTTTGTTTGTTTATATTAACCTTTAATTTTACTAAGCAAATAAGAACATTTCGCTGCCATTAGAAAACCTCATATCTCCAAATGGTAACTTTACAGGAGAAAGAAAAAACTTACTTAACTTTTAATGTAAGTCAGTGGAACCAGAATGTTTTCCAAGTATTTTTGGGCCGTTTCTTTTGGTCCATTCATCATGAAATTTACACACAAGGTAAAGGGCAACAGGCATTTTCAAATCATGTCAAAAACTGAAAAACGAGATATGATTGTGTACACCAGTTGCTAAGTATCAGCATTACTCTAAGCTATTGGGACTACTTTTTTTGGCGGAAGAAATTCCAAATAATGTTTGGAGCTTCTTTCTTTTACTTTCTTTATAATATGTACATAAAGACATGCATATAAAAGCAATAGTGCACTTGAGATGGTGTGTTTGGTGAGTAACATCACAGCTGTGATGATCTACTGTAGCCAAATCACAGCCGTGATCTTATTCACTATACCACGTTCATTAACTGAACAGTATTGTTCTCATATTTTTGGCTCATATTCTCCTTTAACCCCGTTTCATTCCCCCCTCAGTGCTGGAGTGGGTCGGACCGGCTGCCTCATCGTCATCGATGCCATGCTGGAGCGCATGAAGCACGAGAAGTCCGTGGACATCTACGGTCACGTGACCTGCATGCGTGCTCAGAGGAACTACATGGTGCAGACGGAGGATCAGTATGTGTTTATTCACGAAGCCCTGCTGGAGGCGGCCACCTGCGGAAACACGGAGGTACCGGCCCGAAACCTGTACGCCCACATCCAAAAGCTCAGCCAGCCGCCGCCCGGAGATACCGTCACCGCCATGGAGCTGGAGTTCAAGGTGACTCAGCCCACCCACACACTTGGCCTCAACAGGGCAGTTCACATGAGGAATGGGCAGCGTCCTGCCTTCAGCTAAAGCAACAACACTGTAGAGTAGTGAAGACAACAAAACAAGGACAAGTGAGGTCAAATAAATAAACAGCAACACTGGAAACACCAGTTTTAATAATGAAAACAAAATTATTAGTTATTATTAGTAGTAGCAGTAGAGGTATGGTTTCATAGTGTATTATTAAGAGTAGTAAAGACAACTAAACGAAGGGCAAGTGAGGTCAAATAAACAACAACACTGGCAACACTGGTGTTAACTCCTTAAAATCCCAGGCTTTTTACATACTAAGGCTTATTATTCAGTAACTATAAGGACTTCAGTGCAAACTGGTTGAGCTATTCTTAGACTATAGAAGTGTGCAGTTAAACTTTGGCCATTTAAAGGGGTTAAAAAAGAAAACATAATTATTGTTGTTGTTATTATTCATAGTTGCAGTACAAGTATTGTTGTATAGTATATTATTATAAATCCTAATCATTTTTATTTATGTAGCACTTTCATAGACGCAAGGTAGTTTTTGTCAGACCGTAGACAGCATGGCATTTATCACTCAATGGTCAACAATACAGAATCAAAGATGTTTATGTTTAAAGGGGAATTCCACCAATTTTTCAAGTTTTCTGTACAATGAAATCATTGGCTGTGTTTACCTGCAAACATTTTTGCCAATCTGATTGAACACATTCCGATTATAGATTAAGACTGAGGTGTTTATTCTCACTCTGTTCAACAATCTGATGGAAAATCTCCGTTTACATGCTCACTACAAGTAATCAGATACAAAATTACGCTCGTGTAGAGAACCACTTAGTGTAGACGTTACCATGACAACCAGCATCACGTGAGTCCAGTCAGAGTGAGATGAGCAGCAGTGAGCAGTGCTTGTGTTTTTAGTTGCTTTAAAATGATGTCAGACTCAGGAAAACGTCCTTCACGTGTCCTTATTAAAGAAGGCCGAGAGGAAGACGTCGTGTTCTGAGACACATAAGCTGGACGTCCGTCCCACCGCCGTCTTTTAAAGATCAGAGCATAAACTTCGTCTCCTCCGCAGACCAGTTTCTGCTCCGCCATGTTGAACGGTATAAACTTTCACTATGACGCAACGGACATGATCAGAACGGACTTAAACTTTCCGATAGGGAATGTAATCAGATACAGGCGTTTACACGGATATTATTCTTCTATTTAATGGATTATTTACAGGATTACCCACCTCGATCAGTCAGATAGAAAATGTATTCCGAATGGCCTCAATCAGACTAGACTATTCCGATTAAGGTGTTTACATAGACGTATTCTATTCCGATTGAGCTATTAGTCGGATTATTACCAGGCCGCATGTTAACGTGGCCACTGAAACATAAACAAAGTTGTAAAAAAAAAAACACAGATGAACATGCTTTATAGGTGTTTAATATGGAATGTTGATGATGGTTAAATTGTGAAAAACCTGAAAAAAATAAGTTTTCTTTGGGGACTATTTTGCCTCAGAACCACCATGAAACCAAAATCTTCTTGAAACTATCATAAAAACAACATCTCAGACTCTTCTTTAATGACTTTCTGTGAGGGAGCTCTTGATAAACTCACTAAACTCTTCAGATTTAACCACCAGTGAGAACAATTCTGAGTCTACAAGGGAGCCTCTGACACCAAACCACTCTGAATGACTTCGTTTACACTTTAGCAATGAAATTATGGAGAAATTTTGAAAAAATCAGATTCACCTCTTAGGAAATGTTTGATGTGCTGCTAGAGTTTGATCTCGGATGTACTTACAAACAAAGTGCCTCTTAATATTTCCAGTCTGGTGCTCTGTAAACCTTTTGCCTTCTGCTACATTTGTAATATAAACATAGTATCATGATGGCAGTCATATAAACATATATTAGTGAATGTATCATAATGGATGATGATAAATGATCTGTATTGAAATGGAGGATTATCCGTGGCAGTGTAAAAGCAGCATTTGGTGCAGCAGCAGTGTGCGTGTAGCCGTTTCCACTCCACTCTCTCCTCCTGTCCATCTGTGCTCTCTCACTGCCAGTCACGCCTCCACTCGCTCGGCCAGCCTGCTTCAGCCAGCAGCCCACACTACTACAGCACACGTCCAGATTAACTCTCATTCACTCCGCCTAACAAGCTACAGCACGCTTCCATCACCATTCACACCCTGTCATCGTCCTAGCCTCCTGTCTAACAGAGCTGCCCCTGTAATGCAGAGCAAGTTGAACTCCACTGCCCCCTTTAGTCCACGGGCTTATGCTCAGGTGATATATTGTCTATAGTTGTATATTGAACAATATTGATTCTTTAGATTGAAAGATAACAAGGACTAAACTGGAATGCATGCTACTTTTAGGGTGCTCCTGCCTGTTTTGAAAGAACTATTCAAGTCAAGTCGAAGTTTATTTATACAGCGCTTTTTACAGCAGGCGTTGTCACAAAGCGGCTTTACAGAAAAATCCAGGTCCGAGCCCCCATGAGCGTCGCCAGTGGCGGCAGTGGCAAGGAAAAACTGCCTAAGAGCAAGAGGAAGAAACACTGAGAGGAACCAAGACTCAGAAGGGGAACCCATCCTCCTCTGGTCGACACCGGATAGCAAACAAAATAACACAAGAGAAAAATGAACAGAGAATAAGGTTTGACCGTTAGTGTAAAATATAAAAAAAGAGAGAAAGGGGGAGAAAACAGCCTGTCATAGGACAGAGTAAGCAGTGATATCTGATGATTGTTAGAGTAACACTGAGAAACAGACCTGAGAAAATCACTGTTAACAGTGAAAACCGCTGTTAGATGAGAATCACAGAGAACCATGAACGTCAGTGACTGTTAGACACTTGCAGTGATGATCTGTGTGATTATGAGAGGAGCTCAGTATATTATGAGGCTGGTGAAACAATGTCTGTGATTAAATAGTTCAAGTCTGGGCAGCATTGTACAGCAGGAAGCTCCGTGGTGGGCAAACTGGTCCAGAAGGCTAGTGAGAAGTGGGCACCAGATATTCATAGTACAATATATGTCCAGAAATATCCAGTCACACCTTCAAATAACTGATTTCAGCTATTAAGCACTCACAGCTTGAAAAGCATCGATCAGTACACTTTGGAGCAGCCACATGAACCTAGGGTCACCATGCCAAGCGTGGGCATAAAGCCCCCCAGCATTGGGCTGTGGAGCAGTGGAACTTCATTCTCTGGATTGATGGAGCTCCATCTAGTACCAACATCAGTACCTGACTTCACTAATGCTCAATCAAATCCTCACTGCAATGTTCCAACATCTAGTTTAAAGCCTTCCCAGAAGAGTAGAGGCAGCAAAGGGAGACGAACTCCCTTGATTTCTGAAGAATGTCTACAAACTATTGGACATAAAACTAAATTAATAGTTCCTGTGTGTGACACTGTGATGATGCTGTGTAAGGATCTGTTTGGTTTAACTTAAATTTAACCTAAAAGTATCACCTGACCCTGTGATGTATTTGGAAATTATCATATAAAATTTTGTCAATGTTGTCCAGGACTAATTGTTGCCCCTGTTTTTGCAGAGACTGGCCAACTCCAAAGCCCACACCTCGCGCTTCATCAGCGCCAACCTGCCCTGCAACAAGTTCAAGAACCGCCTGGTTAACATCATGCCTTTCGAGTCCTCGCGTGTGTGCCTGCAGCCCATCCGGGGCGTGGAGGGGTCCGACTACATCAACGCCAGCTGCATCGACGGCTACAGGTAACATCTCACGGACTGTGTTTGTTTTAGACGTGAAGCACCTCATGGATCTGGCTTTAACTCGCTCACAGTGTTTTCCCTCTCAAAATCCAGTATATTGCTGATATCTTTACCACTAGTGTTAAGGCTCTCCGCCCTTTAAGCTTTATTGTATTTTACTGGGATGTACATTAGCACGGAAGTCCTTAAGTTAAGCAGGCTGTGATGCCCAACAGCTCCTTCGTGTCTGGATCAGATACAAAAGACACTCGCGTGATGTTTTCTCTCGAAAGAACTGAGAACTCTTGCTTTGGAGTTGTAGCAGCCTCAAACACACTGTTTCCTGCTTCTCTCAAGCAGTTTGTCACTAGAATCAAGAACAGGTGGTTTGTGGGGCCTGTCTGATCTTGTAAGAAGAATTAGATTTATTAGGATGGGAACAAAAACTGCTCGTCCTGAAAGTAGGGGTGATGGTGAGCTCGTTAGCATTGTCTGATGAAGCCTTTCATTAGCACAAGGATGAAAAGTGTGGCTGAAAAGGCCCCCAAAACTCCACAGTTAAGTAGTTGATGTACAGTGTGGGTGCAGAAAAGACATTAAATGCAGTACAAAATTAACGTTTCCTTTTGCGAAGGGAAAACAGCTGCATTAGAGGACAGGATTGCAGGATAGATAGATAGACAGACAGACATATTAAGTCTTTTATTACAGCAGCACAAAGTACTGTAAAGAGTATTGATGAACGCTATTTACAGATGCATAATTAGAAGTAGTAAAGATAAATAATAAAATATACTAAAACAACGATAGAAATATAACGTGCAGTACAAAAATAAGTATAAGGATAGCGTTTCTCTAACTTGCCTGTTTTGCTTTTCTTATCGTTTGTACTCTGGACGTTAAAAGCCCATGGATTAAAGGAACTGGGGTGGGTTTTAGAGGGGGCGTGCCCTCGTTAGCGTTGGATTTTGCTACAGTAAAAGCGCTCAAGATAGCTTTAGTGTGAGTTATTATTAGAGAAGAAACTGCATGAACCCACACCAGCAGGATTCCACAAATGCATGTATGTTTGCAGTCACAGATTCCATGTGTATGAAGTCAAAGGCCTGAAGCAGCACTAAACTCACTCCTTGTGAGACCACGGGCTTCTTTCAAAACTGCGGTTGCGGTACGAGAACTGATTACTGATAAGGGAAGCATTCAGTCGATTGGAGTGAACATACTTCCACTAGGCTGTGTAGATGACCACAGGCTAGAATAGGCACCAGGGGTGCTGTGGAAGAGCGGAGCTTCATTTCAATCACACTGCAGTGGTTGTTTATTTGTCCTTGCTTTGCTGGGGCTGGAGTGCCTTCAATGTCAGTCGCTGGAATAGCCTGAGCGTTGTAAAGCTTGAAGGACCTTTTGAGCCGCAGGACGGCCTCCTGGTTCAAGGAAATGCAAAATAAAAAAGCAGCACCTCCACCTCTGTACTTTTTTATTTATTGGCTTTTTTAATTGCTTATTTTTATTGGAAAAAAGCGACAAATGATGTTTTCTGTCGCTGTGATCACAGTAGTCTTTCTCAACAGTGAGCAGAAAGAATGTTGTTCCTTCCCATAAGCCCTTTATTCCAAACTATGTGTAGTTGTGCTTATATGTGGGTGAGCACTAAAGGAAATCCGAGATGCACGAAATGTCATCGAGCGTACAAAGCCGACGGCTGGTGGTTTGACACCGGGACCCCCATCTCTATCGAATTAAACCTTAATGATGTGCTCCATAGAGAGCCACTCAGTGTGTAAATATGTGTAATTGCGGTGATTCCCAGTGCGGCAGGTGCCTTAATGAAGTGTTTTTGAAATGTTCCGCCTGCACCAGAGTCACTATTCATTTCCAAGCCAAGGCTGCTAGACCCTCAAACCCATCTGACAAACATCTGTCAAACAGTTCACGCAAAGCGCTTCCTACTTAGGCCAAGTTTGAAGTGGCAGTTTGGCAAAAATCAAATTAAGGACCCCCTGCTTACGCCAAATGTAGTCAATCAGCCAAAACATGTTTCTGGTTTGTATCTTTAATTTTGCGCTTGAGCTGTGAGGCCAACGTAGCTAATTCAAAGGTGATATATTTGACATTTTAAACATTGATGTAGCAGCAAACAACTATTTTCTGTGTAAAGACATAGTGGAGTAACGACGTCCTGATCAGAGAATGAAGCCACGCCCCCTCTGGGTGTGTGCTGCAATGCGAGCTTGTCTGTTTTTGTTAGTCCTGCCCTGTGAAAACATCGGCCCTCCCCAAACAGTGACCGCTCGCACAGCGTCCCTGCACAATTTAAGGTGGAATGGGAAAATTCTAACAAGAAGCTGAGGCGCTGGATTTTAGTCTTAACTGCTGCACCTTTTAAGGTGGAACGGAAAATTTCAGACAAGAAGCTGGTGAAAAAGGAGCTGACTCGGCTTAACTGGGAGTTGAAATGCATGAAAAGGGATGAGGAGGCCGCTCCTGCTTGACAGGCGGGCAACATTCATTTTTGCTGTTTCACAGAATCAATAAGGCCCAATCTCATTTCTTATTTTTACCCCTACCCCTTGTTTTCGAGTGTCTCCTTGCCCCTTTGAACTGAGTTACAAGGGGTAGTGGTTCATTAACAGCTACTAGCGCTGTTCTGTAGGCGACCCTGCCAGTCTGCAGTGACAGCAGAGGAGGTTCTTCCATCAATCTGAAGAACCATTTCACCAAACAACGAACGATTTAATCATGCAAAGTGTTGTTTTGAGTGTTCATGGTTCTACATAGAACCATTTCCTTTGCTAAAGAACCCTTGAAGAAGGGATTAAAGGTGTTTGCATCATGAAAGTGCTTTTAAAATTGATGGAGAACGTGCTGTGGATGGTTCTATGTAGAGCCTTTTTGAAAATGGTGTGTTTTAAGATTGTAATAGCAGGTCTAGAGTTTAACGGGTTTAAAATGTCGTATTAGTGCTAGTAAACATTAAGGCTACTGCACTCATTCATTGTACCGTCAGGTGAGGGGAAAAAAAGCATAAATGCTGTTCATCTCGATTCATAAGCAAGTAAATCAGCGGCCGCTCTGCTGCGGAACCCTCTCCGGGGTAGAAACGCGTAATGTAGCGAGTGTTATTTGACTTAAACCGGAGCCTTTCCCAGCAGATCTTTTAATTAAGCCATCATTGTGTTCGCTGCTGGCTGTGCGGTGCTGTGAGCGGAGTGGACGGCTGTGAGAAAGGCACTGCGCCCCTGACATGTGTTTTCCGTGCTGTCGAGAGGGGCGCGAGCGCGCGTGAGCGCTCCGTAACGAGCCGCTGAGTGGCAGGGGAGGCGGGAGAGTCCGTTCCTCCCCTCTCTTCCCTTTTCTCTTCTCGCTCCTTCTTGTCTCTCCTCCTTTCTTCTCCCCTCTTCTTCGCCATTTCTTTATTTGTCGGAACAAGACCCTGAGCAGACTTTAATCTCCAGCTTCCACGTTATTGCTTCGCCCGCAGCACCTTCATTAGTTGCTAACCCGTGGCTCTGAGTGTGAGAGAGAGAGGGAGAGAGAGAGAGGGGAGAGAGAGAGAGAGAGAGAGAGAGAGAGAGAGAGAGAGAGAGAGAGAGAAACGTGAGCTTGCGCTTTGATTCAGCCTTTCTCCGTACTGTGGCACATTGCTGCCACCTAGTGGTGCCACTGATATTTATATTCTTATTCAGCTGTATTTATATACAATTGAGCATGTTGGCTTTTCGCTGTACATTCTTTGTAGCTTCCTAAAACAGAGGTGTCAAACTCAACTACTAAAAGAGCCGTATTAAAAAATCTCAACAAATCCGGGGATGTTTTTATTTCGTTTTTAATTAACTTTGCTATAAACTGAACTGACTGTTGTTTATTCAAAATACTACATACCAAAACTTCAGCAGTAAAATACAGACACACACTGATCAGGCATAACATTCTGACCACCTCCTTGTTTCTACACTCATTGTCCATTTTATCAGCTCCACTTACTATATAGGTGCACTTTGTAGTTCTACAGTTACAGACTGTAGTCCATCTGTTTCTCTGATACTTTGTTAGCCCCCTTTTACCCTGTTCTTCAGTGGTCAGGACCCCCATGGACCCTCACAGAGCAGGTGCTATTTGGGTGGTGGGTCATTCTCAGCACTGCAGTAACACTGACGCAGTGGTGGTGTGTTAGTGTGTGTTGCGCTGGTACGAGTGGATCAGACACAGCAGTGCTGCTGGAGTTTTTAAACACTGTGTCCACTCACTGTCCACTCTATTAGACACTCCTACCTTATCAGTCCACCTTGTAGATGTAAAGTCAGAGACGATAGCTCATCTGCTGCTGCACAGTTTGTGTTGGTCATCCTCTAGTCCTTCACCAGTGGTCACAGGACGCTGCCCACAGGACGCTGTTGGCTGGATATTTTTGGTTGGTGGACTATTCTCAGTCCAGCAGCGACACTGAGGTGCTTAAAAACTCCAGCAGCACTGCTGTGTCTGAGTGCCGTGCACTGTGAAATGGGCTAATATTAGCAGAGAATTAAAATGCTTTTGCGGGCCAGATAGGATTGTGTCACAGGCCCTGATCTGGCTCGTGGGCCTCATGTTTGGCACTCGGGTCCTAAAGACTTATAAGGTCTGGACACATCATGTGTCCTGTGTATTCCATCTGTCAGAAGTTTGGGGACGCCTTCCCTTTCAGAATGTTTTTAATTCATATCAGCAAAAACGTAACATATTAAACCAACAGTTCAGCGAAAAGTCAAGTTTGCATAATTTTCCACTTAGCCCAGATGTTGGCGATCAGCCAAGATGTGTTCAGGGCACAGTTGAACTTAGTGAGAGCTATAAAAATGAACCAAATTCACTGGGTAGCTAAATAACAGGTGTTGTGCTGACTCCGCTTTGCAATTATATTTGTGTTAATGTTCACATTTCTGTTGTTTCTTCTTATAAATAACTGTTAATCTTGACGTTTAAACTGAAAACAACAGAAATGTACACAGAAAAGTACACAGTAAATGTAATCTGACGGGCGTATATGTGAAGGTGAGACAGATTCTTTGGGGAATCCAGCACAACACCTGTTGTCTTAAACAATAACAATAGTTTGCGAAAGAAAAGGTCCCACATTATTTTAAATGTCTCTAATAACTGTATAGTTACACATAAATAACATATGCAGAAACAGTGTAACTATTAATGATTTAGTCAGCATTACAGATGGATTACAGAAGTGTTGCCTATGTAATTACCATTTATGTATCAACTTCAGTTTTGCCTAATGTAATTTGTATTTTACATAACATTACATTTATGTTTTATGTAATTACTGTGGAATAACTGTTGTAACAAGGTAACCTAATTACATCAGATTGATTAATACCATTCTGTAATTACACTGTACCTACATAACAACTACACAGGAACGTTCCTGTATAGTGTTAGTGGCATTTTAAATAAAGTGGACAGTTCCTGTGTAGTTGTTTTGTAGTTACTGTGTAATAAAGGGGTGATAATATAGAAATTGCTTTTGGGGAAATGCAACACATATAATTAAATGTCACACAAGTTACATGTTAATATAAGGGGATGTCTGCTGTTCTGTCACATGACAGAATGGTTTAAAGCTGAAACTGGTTACAGTGTCACAGCACTAGCAACACAAATGCTAGCTAGATGTTAAGAAAGCTGGCAGATACAGTGTAAGTAATGTCTTAAATGTAAGTTATTACATAGTTATTACATACTTTTTTATGTCTCAAAAAATCTGCTGTTCCAGTTTGATTACAAATGTAATTACATTTGTGTTATTACCCTTGTGTAATTACATGAGAGCGAATAGGCTGTTACAACTATTAAGATACACTTGTGTAATTACAAACTTTAACACAGTTAAAGCAGTTGTTATGTAGGTACAGTGTAATTACAGAATGGTATTATTCAATGTGATGTAATAAGGTTATGTTTTTACAACACAGTTATTCCACAGTAATTACATAAAACATAAATGTAATGTTATGTAAAACACGCTTCCTTTTACTGCTGGAAAAGACTTCTGATCTGTAGAGTATCAATACACTTGTGTAATTACATGAGGCAAAACCGAAGTTTATACACATGTAATTACATAGGCTGTACTTCTGTAATCCATCTGTAACAGTGACTAAATCATTAGTAGTTACATTGTTGTTGCGTATGTTGCTCACATGTAACTACACAGTTATTAGAGACACTTCATATGAAGTGGGACCAAGAAAACCGACAAATCATTATTTAGACAAAACCTGAGACACTCTGCTAAATATGCAGCTGGGTGTTGAAGCTTAATGTACCTAAAGCATTTGCACAGAGCTGATTGGTGGTGAACTAAACCTTTACAGGCATTTGTTACCTTTCTTGCTTGTGAAGTAACAAAGAAAATCACACATGAAAATTCCAGCAGAAGTCAGGGTGTCTCTAGGAATGTGACTAATAGTGTGTGTAAAAGGTGGATGAATCTGATGGAGGTTCTTTTGTGTTCACAGGCAGCAGAAAGCCTACATCGCCACCCAGGGCCCTCTAGCCGAGACCACCGAGGACTTCTGGAGGATGCTGTGGGAGCACAACTCCACTATTGTAGTGATGCTAACCAAACTCAGAGAGATGGGACGGGTAAGAGAGCATCTGCCCCTTTAACTGGTGACAGCGTTAATATTAATGATGTTCATTCATGTAGGACTTTATATCAAATATCTATAAGAAAAATACAACACTGGGGGTCCGGGAGGGCTGTGGTCAGCACAGTTTGGTGATTCCCCTTCTCTAACACACTGGTTATTAACAGGGAATCTGAGTCAGGCATACTTGACTGGGAAAACCACTAATGTGCATCCAAAACCCCATAATGCCACAGTGAATTAGTACATCGCTATTAGCAATGCCTTCATCAGTATAGTATGTATAGTTGGGATATACAATATCCATATTGTAGTGTCTATGGAATAGTATAGTATCTGGCTTATAGGACAGTACAGTATAGTATCTGTAGTACAGTATAGAATAGTTTAGTAGACTGTCTGTAGTATAGAATTCTCTAACATAGTATGTGGTTTTGGACCCAGCTTTGGAGTGTAATTCTGTAAATCTCACAACATTCAATGATGATTATTTAGAGAAGTACTAGAAATTACTTGGGTAGGATTCAGAATTTTTAAAAATACACTAAATACACAGATGTAATGGGAAGACAGTAGGTGAATATTATAAACCTGATGATGACGATGATGCTGATTGAAAAAAATGATGTTGAAAAAAACAACAATAATGATAATAATAATAATAATAATAATATCAATAACTTAATTTATAAAGCGCTTTTCATACATGTGTGTGCTCAAAGTGCTTTACACCAAAGTTTAAGTAAGAAAAAAAATGCAAGAAAATGCTTAATTTGTGCTTTAAGATAAAAACAATAATAAAATTAAATAGAATAGCATAGAATCTGTATGATAGGACAGGATAGTATAGTATCTAAAGTGTGCTATAGCATAGAATAGCATGGTAAGGTATCTGCAGTACAGTATAGTGTTTGTAGTATAGTATCTGTAGTACAGTATGGAGTAGTTTAGTAGAATATCTGTAGTATAGAATACTCTAACATAGTATGTGGATGCAGAGTGTAAATCTGTGATCTCACAACATTCAATGATGATTGTTTAGAAAAGTACTAGAAATTACTTTGGTAGGATTCAGAATTTTTAAAAATACACTAAATACACAGATGTAATGGGAAGACAGTAGTTGAATATAATAATAAACTTGATGATGCTGCTTATGTTTAAAAATAATAATAATAATATCAATAACCTAATTTAAAGAGCACTTTTCATACATGTATGTGCTCAAAGTGCTTTACATCAAAGTTTAAGTAAGAAAAAAATGCAAGAAAACAATAAATACAATAATAAAACAGAATAGCATAGAATCTGTATTATAGGACAGGATAGTATAGTATCTAAATCGTTTCTGGAATAGTTTAGTATCTATAGTGTGATATGATATCTATAGTATACACTAGTATAGTATGTGGTTTTGGATGCAGAGTGTAAATCTGTGATCTCAACATTCAGTGATGATTATTTAAAAAAGTACTAGAAATTACTTTGGTAGGATTCAGACTAATTATTAAAAATACACTAAATACACAGATGTAGCTGGAAGACAAAGCGTAGTTGAATATAATAATAAACTTGACGATGTTGCTGTTTATGTTAAAAAAAATAATAATATCATTTTAATAATTTATAGAGCGCTTTTCATACATGTATGTGCTCAAATGCTTTACACTGAAGTTTAAGTAAGAAAAAAAGCAAGAAAATGCAGAAGATAAAAACAATAATAAAATAAAACAGAATAGCATAGAATCTGTATTACAGGACAGGATAGTATAGTATCTAAAGTTTGGTGTAGCATAGAATAGCATGGTAAGGTATTTGTAGTACAGTATAGTGTTTGTAGTATAGTATCTGTAGTACAGTATGGAGTAGTTTAATATCTGTAGTGTAGTAAAATATCTATAGTATCATATACCCCAGTATAGTGTGTGGTTTTGGATGCAGCTTTGGAGTGTAATTCTGTAAATCTCACAACATTCGATTATGATTATAATGATTATTTTAGAAAACAACTCAAAGCATCTCAAAATTCGACTTCATGTAATTCCTTTGGTAGGATTCAGACTTATTTTAAAAAATGCACTAAATGTAATTGGAGTAGTTGAATGTAATAATAATTAACTTGATAATGACAGTGATGCTGCTTATGATGGTAAAAATAATAACAATAATTTATAGAGCGCGCTTCATGCATGTGTGTGCTCAAAGTGCTTTACAGTGAAGTTTATTTAAGAAAAAAGTAAGAAAAAAAAGAAATCACACAAGATAAAATCAATAATAAAAGAAAATAAAATTTAAAAAGAACAGTACAGCAAGCTTTTGTTTTATTTATTTATTTTTTTTTAACAGTGAGGCTTTTGTTTTGGCCGAAAATTCGTACCTGCTTATTGAATGTTTTTATAATTGGTTATAATCAGTTATAACGTTCCACAACCAGTGTGGGTTAATTCTGCATTTTTGCCTCTCTGAAATCACCGAACTGTGCTGGACTGCAGCCCTACCAGTACCGGAGTTGGATACCCCTGTTTTAGATAGCAGTTGTGTTGGTAATGCAGTGTAAGCTAATGCCCCCCCTTATTCCCTTCTCCCTGCAGGAGAAGTGCCATCAGTACTGGCCTGCCGAGCGCTCTGCACGCTATCAGTACTTCGTGGTGGATCCCATGGCTGAGTACAACATGCCTCAGTACATCCTGAGGGAGTTCAAAGTCACGGACGCCAGGGTGCGTATACTAAACACTACTGCTGAAGCTACATCTGTGTGCCTTTCTTATCGTCTCAGGGTGCCTAGAGGCTGACAGCGAGTCAGAAACACAGCTCCTTTAGTTTAACTCAGTTAGACTAGAGAACGTACCGGTATGGAGTGAACAGACTTCCTATCGTGAGACAAAGAAGTCAAAACCATTTCAGCTTTTGCTGCAACAGATTCTGGTGTTGTACATCGACGAGTGGAAAAGTGGAGAAGCAAAGGTAGAAGAGAATCTTAATGAGAGTTCAAGATGGAGAACAGCGTAAAAGGTGCTGTATACACACGGATCAGACACAACACTCTGACCACCTCCTCGTTTCTACGCTCATTGTCCATTTTATCAGCTCCACTTACTATATAGGTGCACTTTGTAGTTCTACAGTTACAGACTGTAGTCCATCTGTTTCTCTGATACTTTGTTAGCCCCCTTTTACCCTGTTCTTCAGTGGTCAGGACCCCCATGGACCCTCACAGAGCGGGTACTATTTGGGTGGTGGATCATTCCCAGCACTGCAGTAACACTGACGTGGTGGTGGTGTGTTAGTGTGTGTTGTGCTGGTACAAGTGGATCAGACACAGCAGTGCTGCTGGAGTTTGTCCACTATATTATACCCTCCTACATTGTCATCACAGGACGCTGCCCACAGGACGATGTTGGATATTTTTGGTTGGTGGACTATTCTCAGTCCAGCAGTGACACTGAGGTGTTTAAAAACTCCAGCAGCACTGCTGTGTCTGATCCACTCAGACCAGCGCAACACACACGAACACACCACCACCACGTCAGTGTTACTGCAGTGCTGGGAATGACCCACCACCCCAATAGCACCTGCTCTGTGAGGGTCCATGGCGGTCCTGACCACTGAAGAACAGGGTAAAAGGGGGCTAACAAAGTATCAGAGAAACAGATGGACTACAGTCTGTAACTGTAGAACTACAAAGTGCACCTATATAGTAAGTGGAGCTGATAAAATGGACAATGAGTGTAGAAACAAGGCGGTGGTCATCATGTTATGCCTGACCGGTGTGTATTTTCTACAAGTCTTTTCTGGCAGTGTGTGTCTCTACAGGTCAGGTTGTTTGTGTCGACAGATTTAGAGAATTATTCAGCTTTAGCTCCCTCAGTCTTTTGTACATCATCTAGTTATTCAGAGCATCAACACATCATCTCATACGTTGTTTCATTCTTACATGCATTGTCTCATTCTTTTGTATGTTGTCTCATTCTTTCATGCAACAATGCTGCTTTATTCTTTTATACATTTCACTCTTTCATACATCACCTCGTTCTTTAGTACATTTATCATACATTTCTCTTTCCTACACCGTTCTGTTCTTTTATACATTTTATTCTTTCATACATCAAATTTTTTAACGCCTCATTCATTCTTTTGTATGTTGTGTCTCTTTTTTTGTATGTCATCTGTCTTTCCTGCATTGTCTCATTCTTCACATACCATCCTGCTTCTAAATACTCTCTCTATTTCATGCACCATCTCATTCCTTCATCTATCATCTCTCTTTCATATATTGTCTGCTTTTTACATATATGGTCTCATTCTTGCCTCATACAGTCACCTCAGTCTTTCATACATCGCCTCATTTTCCTGCCTACATTCCTTCGTATATCGTCTCATTCTTGCATACATCATCTCTTTCATACATTGTCTCATTCTTTCATACATCTCATGCTTTCATACATTGTCTCATTCTTTCATACATCATCTCATGCTTTCCTCATACATCCTTCGTCATCATTTCCTCTTCATACATCATCTCATGCTTTCATACATTGTCTCATTCTTTCATACATCGTCTCATTTTCCTGCCTACATTGCTTTGTGTATCATCTCATTCTTTCATACATTGTCTCATTCTTTCATACATCATCTCATGCTTTCATACATTGTCTCATTCTTTCATACATCGTCTCATTTTCCTGCCTACATTGCTTCGTGCATCATCTCATTCTTTCATACATTGTCTCATTCATACATACATTGTCTCGTTCATTCAAACATCGTCTCATTCTTTCATCCATCATCTCATACTTTCATACATCGTCTCATTTTCCTGCCTACATTGCTTTGTGTATCATCTCATTCTTTCATACATTGTCTCATTCTTTCATACATCATCTCATGCTTTCATACATTGTCTCATTCTTTCATACATCGTCTCATTTTCCTGCCTACATTGCTTCGTGCATCATCTCATTCTTTCATACATTGTCTCATTCATACATACATTGTCTCGTTTATTCAAACATCGTCTCATTCTTTCATCCATCATCTCATACTTTCATACATCGTCTCATTTTCCTGCCTACATTCCTTCGTGTATCGTCTCATTCTTTCATACAGCAGCCCTCAGCCATTCTCCACTGCTGTCAGAAACAATCAGAGGGCTGTTCTGTGTGTTTCTCGTAATGCAGCGTGTGAAAGCTGCGTGTGAATGTGTGTGTTTGTGTGTGCGAGGTGGCTGAGCTCTCTCTACTTCCTCCCCTCCGCCCCCCCCCCGTCCCCTGAGGCGTGAGCTCTGGAGCTGGCTGCCTGCTGCCCTGGACTTCAGTGCTTTCTGTAGGCTATAAATAGGGCCGCGGTAATGAAAACGCTGCGAGCTCAGTACAGCACGCACGCTTCAACCTCAACACATGTTCGTACAGCAACCATATGGAAAGCAGCTCCCTCAGTGTTCCTCTCTGATGGGGAGGGGTCCAGCTGCTGTGCGCCCCTCGGTTTCTCTCTGTAACCTTGATACATGTGGCATCAAACCTGACAAAAGAAAACAAACCTTTATTTGTAGCACTTTTCATGCAGACATTGCAGTGCAGCGTGCTCCATACTTTGAAGAACAATAGTAATAAGCAGATAACAACAACAAAAAATGTTGATAAAAATAAAAAATGACGAAGTATGTAATTTATTAAGAAATTAAACGATACAGAAGCAAAATAAAAGCAGCAAAAAATCTATACAGAAAAAAACAAGGTAGAAAAGGTTACAAAAGGACGTCACTCACTCTCTCTGTCTAGGGCTGCGTTCACATTATCAGGATGAAGTGGCACAAATCCGATTTTTTGCCCTAATGTGACTCAGATCTGATGTCAAATCTGATCTTTTCAAATCCAAGCTGAGCCACTTTCATATGTGGTCCTAGATCGGATACGTATCCGATTTGTGGCCGTGCGACCTTAATGTGACGCTCAGATCGGAATTCATCTGCTTTTTTTCCACTGCACTGCGCCATCATTCAGCGTTACCATGGCAGCAGCACCAAACAGAAGTTAAAGCCTGTAAACAGTGGAAAAGCAGCTCATCTCACCTTTTTCTCCTTCGTCTCGCTCTAATAATGAAGCTGAGAGCTGATCAGAGTTAATTATCTTCTCAGCGAAGCTCGTTCTGCTCGTTAGTTTGTGCTGATGATGAACGTGATTCATTCACGTGACGTTACTGAGTAGGATGAGCTCATGAGGGTCATTTCAGGACGCCGGTTCGTCACATTAATGACAGATTTGAATCACTTACCTAAACGAGTGTGAACCATCCTGTCAGAGAGATCGGATTTGAGCAAGAAAATGGATTTGAGCAACGAGGCTTATCTATCTCTCTCTAACTGTCTCCTATAGGATGGCCAGTCACGAACAATCCGCCAGTTCCAGTTCACCGATTGGCCGGAGCAAGGAGTGCCAAAGACTGGCGAGGGATTCATCGATTTCATTGGCCAAGTGCACAAAACCAAGGAGCAGTTTGGGCAGGATGGACCAATCACTGTGCACTGCAGGTACGACAAAGAGATTCCTGAGGTAGACAGGTAAAGGTAGATAGTTGGAGGTAAAACTGGTCGACAGGGGAGACAGTTATAGCAGAAAGCGCTGACGGGGACACTGACAGTTCAGATTACTCTGTATGGTGAAAAAACATTACTATATACAGGTGAATACATACAGCCATGTAATATATAATGGATTTTGTCAGTGCATGACACTGTAGGCTTGTCAGAAATCTAGAATCCGGAACATCGTATCAACAATGGGGGTTCAAAATCACACGTGAAGCACTTTGAATTATCTTTTGTGTATGAAATATGCTATAATAACTAAACTTGCCTTCTTGCTGCTCCTCAGTGCTGGTGTGGGCAGGACTGGAGTGTTCATCACTCTCAGTATCGTGCTGGAGAGGATGAGATACGAGGGAGTCGTGGATCTGTTCCAGACAGTAAAGACGCTGCGCACACAGCGACCTGCCATGGTGCAGACTGAGGTACCATCTACACACAATGCCGTTAACATTTAATCACTCCTAAAAATAAAGGGTTCTTTGGAGTGACGCCACAGAAGAACCGCTTTTATAGCGCTAACCTTTATACACAGCGTGTGGGGCGATATGGCTTCTACTGTTTCATTTAAAAAGCCTCTATAATGTTCATATGATCCACACAGTCACTCTGACAGACTGTAATACACTACAGGAAGTGTAGGGGGCGATATGGCTTCTACTGTTTCATTTAAAAAGCCTCTATAATGTTCATATGATCCACACAGTCACTCTGACAGACTGTAATACACTACAGGAAGTGTAGGGGGCGATATGGCTTCTACTGTTTCATTTAAAAAGCCTCTATAATGTTCATATGATCCACACAGTCATTCTGACAGACTGTAATACACTACAGGAAGTGTAGGGGGCGATATGGCTTCTACTGTTTCATTTAAAAAGCCTCTATAATGTCCATATGATCCACACAGTCACTCTGACAGGCTGTAATACACTACAGGAAGTGTAGGGGGCGATATGGCTTCTACTGTTTCATTTTAAAAGCCTCTATAATGTTCATATGATCCACACAGTCATTCTGACAGACTGTAATACACTACAGGAAGTGTAGGAGGCGATATGGCTTCTACTGTTTCATTTAAAAAGCCTCTATAATGTTCATATGATCCACACAGTCATTCTGACAGACTGTAATACACTACAGGAAGTGTAGGGGGCGATGTGGCTTTGTATAAATTAATTGATTGTCACTTTCTGGGCCTTTTAACAGTAAAGAGAGAGGAACAAAAGAAGGCATTACAGTAATTGTCGCTGTTGGAACAAAACCTTATATCTCCAGTCTTTACCCAGCCCACCCCCAACAGACTTTACCCAGCCCACCCCCAACAGAGCCTTTTTCACACTTCTACCGTTATGCAAATGAATAGAAAGTGTGAAGTAAAGGCCACTAGGCAGTCAGATGTGTAAATGGTTCTGTTTCTCTACCTCCCCACATGAGTACCCTCTGTTTAATCTCAATAGTCTCCTATAGTCATTTCTTATTGTCCCTTTACTAATTCATCTCCAGTTCCTCCTGAAGCGCTGCCTAAATTTAGTTTGTACCTCTACATACTTGAACTATATTCTCTATGTTCATTTGCATGTCTATATTTTCTTACTGTCGTAAAAATATACATCATTCCATGCAGTTTAAATTTTTTATACATCTGAAAATCGCAGCTGTTGGAACTATTTTTTTGATGATTTTCAGTTTTTGACATAATTTGAAAATGTCTGTAGTCCTTTATATTATATGTAAATTTCATGATGAATGGACTATAAGAAATGAGCCAAAATTACTTGGAAAAATGTCTGGTTCCATTGAGTTACATTAAAAGTAAAGTAAGGTTTTTCCTTCTCCTGTAAATTTATCATTTTAGAGATACAAGGTTTCGATCCGACAGCAGCCAAACGCCATCTGCCCTTTACATTGTGTAAAGAATGATTTATAAATCCTTCTTAGCTCTTTAAAAGGCTTTTAAAAGGGGAAATCCACTGCTTTTTCAATTTTTTTTGCATAAATAAATGGTCCCAACTCATTCAGAGTGGTTTGGTGTGAAACGCTCTGTTCTAGAGAAACTTACTGAGTCAGAGCTGTTCACAGTGGTGGTGATAGGAACCAGACGTCCACCTCTAAAAGCTCCCTCACAGAAAGTTACTACATGAAATGGTTATGAATTCACTGCCTGATGACTGAGACACTGTTTAATGATAGTTTTACACATGCATGGTGGAGGGATACATAAAGGGCATTGTGAGGCAAAATAGTCCCAAAAGAAAAATAATCTTTTACATATTTTCCATCAACATTCCATATAAACCCAGAAGACTCGTGTAGGTTCACTGGTGTAGTCATGGCGACCCCTGGTTCCTATCACCACCACTGTAAAGACATCTGAACCATTTCACACCAAACCACTCTGAATCACTCTGTTTACATCTCAACCATTGAATTATGAAGAATTTCAGTAAAAAATGAAAATAAATGAATAAAATTCCCCTTTAAGGTCCCTTAAAGTTTGTTTGCATTAACAGTTGAGAAAGTTTTTATGTTCCTTTTATGTTACAGTTTCTGAGATACGGTAGTCTGAGAATATCATTGTACAAGAACTGATGAGAGCTGATCTTACCCTGTTAGAAATAAAGGTTCTGTTCAGGTACATTTTTTGTTCATCAAGGTACAAACAGTGTAAATGTTCCCTCAAAGCTCCAACAGTGGTTTTAAGGTCTGATTGTGAACCTTAAATAAGTTTTTCCAGGTGAAAAGTTTGTATTTGTACCTTTTCATAACCGAATGTTTTAAACAGAACAGTAAAATAAAAGCCTGGAGACGAGACGGGGTGTGTGGAGTCAGTACAGCTTAGAACATATCATTTCAGTGGATTATGGTTCAGTTATGTTCCCTGACTAAAGGGACTGAGATGGACCCTTGAGGGTTCCACCCCAGTGACGAGGGGAACTGACCCAGAGACAGTTTAGTACCTTTATTTCTGAGAGTGTAGATCAGTGTTCTGACTGTAATACGCTTGATAAATATGGACCGTTGAGTTGCTGCTGAAGCACCCGGCACTAATCCTGCTCTGTTTTTCTTTGACCTGTGTTAGGACCAGTACCAGCTGTGCTACAGGGCAGCGCTGGAGTACCTGGGCAGTTTTGACCACTATGCAACGTAACGTAACCACTCCTGGACTCGCAGCCCCCCTGGAACGAAGACTTCAGGAGTGCGGAAAACGCTCCTTCTGAGCCACCGTCCACCCAGCCCACCCCGAACACAGAGAGCGGCCAGAGGGGCTGAAATACTCCCGCCGGCTGCTCAGCAGTCCATTCTGACTGGCACAAAGAGATTTGCTTTACGGAAAATAATCGTCGACAACTCTCCTCCAGAAGCGACAGCCTCTTTTCTTTTCTGAACGAAATCTTCAGCTCACACCACCCTTCCACTCGGTCGAAGGCTACTGGTAGCAAATTTCATTTTTTATCAAGTTATCATATTATTATTATTATGGCATCGAGTATATTGTTATTTCTTTTATTTAGAATATTTTTGATTTTAATAATCATTTAACATCTTTTTGTCTTAACGGCCTCTATGGGTCTATATTTTCCACAACTGGTACTGTTTTTTCTCTCTTTTTTCTTTTCTATTTTCTTTTTTTATAGGTTATTTTAGCACAAGGGACATGTATTTTTAACACGTTCCTAGATACTAATACTGGAGAACCACTGTTCTCAGAGCTGCTGTCCGTTTTACTTTATAACATAATTTTTTATCATTTCTCTATGTTTCCTTTACATGTAATTGGTTTTATTGGTTTATTGGAGCGGGTTAAGCCTGTTAATTTTACAACAAAGCCTTTTTTTTTTATTTTTTATTTTCTAGTTAGCGAAATTTACTAAATAAATAACTCAGAGGAAGATTTAGTGATACTGAAAGAAAAGGAAAACCTACATCGATTAGCCGACAGTGAAATCAGCTGTACAGAAAGGTCATTTCAGAAGAATCTCGACCTTTGGGGGGACGCTGGAAGCTGTACAGAAATGACCACTCCCCCAAAAAAGATAGAAAAATCTGCTTAATTTCCCCTCAACTGACCCGCTATCCTTTTTTATACTGAAAGATAGAAATATATATACATAAATACGAAGAATTCTAAATACTATGATTCATATAGTACATATACAGCTTCAGATATATTGTCAGTCATTCTCTCGACAAAAGTAATCATGGACTTTCTTGACATACCAACATAGAGGACAAAAAAACTACGAGACTGCTGTCTGTGAATCTGTATTAATGGTATAAAGTTATATCTACTGTATTATCATCACACCCCAGGGTTTAGGTGTTTTGGGGTGGGACAGCACAAGCTGAACGTTGACGGACTAACGGCAAAAAAAAGTTGAGAAAAAGTTCATTTTTACCTTGTGAATGATTAGTGCTGTAGGGGTTCAATCTGTTGTAAACACGGTCTGTTTTCTATTTGTTAATAAGAAAAACTGGATCTGTTTGGGAGAAAAAACTTGATGTTAATAAAGTTGAATAATTGTTTTTGCTTTTCTTTTGTACAAAAAAGTCTCTTTTTGTATTTTTTTTGGGATGTAAACTACTCTTTTTGGAAGAATTCACATGTGCCTCTCTTTGGAGCTCAAAAAGTAAAAAATTAAAAAAGTCTTGTGTGGTGTTGGGGTCTGTGGGACCCAACTTCAATGTTTACCAAATTAAAAAATGATGCGATTTTATATATATATATATATATATATATATATAAAAAATCACATCATTTTTTAATTAATTATTTATATATATATATATATACACACACACACACATCAAAGAATCCCTTACATGATTAAAGGGCTCTTTGTATGGTGAAATGGTTCTTCAGATTGTTAGAAGGGTTCTATATAGCACCCAAAAGGGTTCTTTTATTGTTAGAAGCTTGACATCGTAGCAATAGAAGAACCTTTTTGGGTGCTGTGTTGAACCTTTTCCATTACAGCACATTCTGAAGAACACTTTCATGATCCAAAGAACCCTTTAATCATGCAAAAGGTTTTTTGAGTGTTCGTGATCATTTTTAGAACCGTTTTCTTTACTAAAGAACCCTTGAAGACGCATCTATATAGATATAGGCTCTATATAAAACCAGATACAACGCATTCTCCGTCAATCTGAAGAACCATTTCACCATGCAGAGAACCTTTTAAGTATGCGAATGGTTATTTGAGTGTTTATTGTTCTACATAGAACCATTGTCTTTACTAAAGAACCCTTGAAGAACCATCTTTTAAACTGAATAGTGACTGTTTTTGGTAATTGAACAAACACAAATCTCAACTTTTTTTTCAGCAGAAAAAATAATATAAAAACATGAAAAAGTGAGGTTTGAGCCCATTGAGGAAAAAAACCTTGCCTTCTTTTTTAAATTTGCTTTTCAAAAAAATATCTCACAAAAAAAAATCTCACATTTTGCCCGAATAATTATTTGACTGATTTATTTTCCAGACTGTAATTAAAAGCACATATTGAAGCTCTTTGGTCCAAAGGTGGTTTAAACAGCTGAGAGTTTGACTGCTGACATCACAACAAGGGGGTCAAATGGGCGTGGTCTTTGGCTCTATTCCCAAACTAGCACTGTCATCAATATGGGCTCGAATATTTACACTCTATATAAACCTACTTAAGCTCTAATATGGACATTTCTTGTGAAAAGAGAAAGAAAATATGCTTGTTTGTATTGAAGTGTGTTGAAAAGGACCCCCTACACGTCACACCTACAGGAGCTTTTGTGAATCCCATTCTAAATCCACAGGCATTAATATGGAGTTGGTCCCCCTTTGCAGCTCTAACAGCTTCCACTCTTCCGGGAAGCTTCTACAAGATGTTGGAGAGTCTGTGGGAATTTGTGTCCATTCATCCAGAAGAGCATTTGTGAAGTCAGACACTGATGTTGGACGAGAGGGCCTGGCTCACAAACTCCACCCTGGTTCATCCCAAAGGTGTCTGATGGGGTTGAGGTCAGGGCTCTGTGAGGGCCAGTCAAGCTCTTCCACACCAAACTCACCCAGTCAGGCCTTTATGGAGCTGCTTTGTGCACTGGGGCTCAGTCATGCTGGAACAGGAAAGGTTCTTCCCCAAACTTCCCACAAAGTTGGAAGCATAGAATTGTCCAAAATGTCTTGTTCTGCTGAAGCATTAAGGTTCCCCTTCACTGGAACTAAGGGTTCTAGACCAACCCCTGAAAAACAGCCCCATATCATCATCCCTCCTTCACCAAACTTTACAGCTGGCACAGTGCAGTCAGGCAAGTAACGTTCTCCTGGTATTCGCCAAACCCAGACTCATCCATCAGACTGTCAGATAGAGAAGCTGATTCATCGGTCCACAGAATACGTTTCCACTGCTCCAGAGTCCAGTGGCGGCGCTTTACACCACTCCATCTGACGCTTGGCATTGTGCATTTTGATCTTAGACTTGTGTGAAGCTGCTCAGACATGGAAACCCATTTCCTGAAGCTCCTAAGCTCAGTTAGTTTGCTGATGTTGATGCCAGAGGCAGTTTGGAACTCATTAGTGAGTGATTCAACAGAGGACAAGCACTGTGCACTTCAGCACTCGGCGGCCCACTCTGATTTTGTGTGGTCCACTGGTTCGTAGCTGAGCTGTTGTTGCTCCTAGGTGCATCCCTTTCACAATAACATCACTTACAGTTGTCTGGGGCAGATCTAGCAGGACAGACATTTCACAAACTGACTTGTGGCAGAGGTGGCGTCCTGTGACAGCGCCATGTTTAAAGTCACTGAGCTCTTCAGTTCGACCCTCTGCTGCCAGTGTTGGTCTATGGAGACTTAATTTTATACACCTGTTAGCAATGGGTGTGGCTAAAACACCTGAATTCGATAATTAGGAGGGGTGTCCCAATACTTCTGTTTGTATAGTGTACGTATGTGCAGTCTGCAGTGTTTACAGTGTAAGTATTGGACATTGGCCACTTTCATGCAAGCTTGAACAAATAAACAATGCACATTATTCGTGACCGTTTATGCATTTTGTATAATTCAGAAAGGAAAATTGATAAAATCACCAAGTTGCATTATTAAATCACTATGTGGAAACGGCAGTATCCAGTGTATCTGTTGGCGCTGTGTTGATTTACCCCCATCGCATACGCGGCAGATTGCAGTTTCATTCTTGCATGCCATTGCCATATGGCAACAATTATATTTCTATCATTTTATATGAAACCTACAGTGTCTAAACTGATTTCACTTAAAAAAAAAAATGTAACCTCCCATAAATTGTTCATTGATAGCGCTTCAGAAAAGGACATGAGATCAGAAAAGGCAGACGATTTAAACATAAAGCCTTCAGTATTTCAAAAGAATTGAAGAAGACTTTTATATTGTAGATGAGCATTGCCATATGGCAACGTCATGCAGTAAAGCTTTAACCCAGAGGAAGATTGGAAACATGTAAATTGTGTGGATTAAATGATCCCTTTGGGGTCCCTTATGGATTCAGATTTTTTTCTACCCCTTAAAAATCACACATTAAAAAGTCTCTGTTTATATCAGAGTGAACAATTACATCCCATGCTAATGATACACAACCACTAAAGCTGTACTGTATAAACATGAGCTAAATGTTTTAGGTGTGGAAATGTATAATATACATTATATATTTTTAAATGTGGGCCTCAGTTTGGGAAGACAGAAAGGCGCCCCCTGTCTGTCACTCGGTGTAGTTCATCTATGGAGTGAGAACTCATTCTTATTTGCTTGGAAGCCACTTATTGTTATTATTATATAAGTAAGTACTGATGAGATAAATGTAAGGGGCTGATACAATTTAGCATATTTTTAGCCCCACTTAGCAGTTTTATTCCCACATTTGTGCTTTCAGGTGCATAAAAATAAGCCACTGACTCTTTTCAAATCAAACTGCACTGGATAAGTATTAAACTTGATTAAAGAAATGCAGACGCTGATCTGCCACTTGTACTTTTTCCCATAAACACATCTGTCCCACATTTGTATGTGACCCAGACTGATCTAAACCAAAGCCTTTTAAAGCCAAACCTACTTATGAACAAAATACAAGTTAGCCAAAGAGCACATGGACAAAACTGTGGGAAACCTAATGTAGGTGTCACTGAATTCACAGAAAAGCAAATACCATCTTTTTCTTATTCTGTATGTATTTACTGAATTAGATATTTTAAAGATATATATTAATCTTAAATTCAAATATATTACACATTGTCTACCACAGTTAACAGGCTGTACTGTATACTCAAGACAGCAAAAAAATATTTTTTAAAGAGATTTTTACTGTTTTTTCTAAATATTTGAATGGCAAAAAATGTCCAGAGGTTCATTATGCAAATTATTATTTTATTAATAGCAGATTGAAACTGTTATTTAGTGTTTTTCAGTACCATAATAATAGCATTATTACTACTAATAACAGCACCAACAATAATAAAGTATATAGAAAAACAAACGATAAAGTAAATCGAATGTTTGTTTCCCCGTCGACGCGCATGCGCGCCGCTATGTTTCCGTTGGTGAACCGTGTTGAGTGCGCATGCGCGCTGATGGAGGTTCAGGGCTAATCGGTCTGTGTTGAATCGGAGCCTCTCCGCGACGCTGCGGCTCAAACTCCGCGGATTACTCGGAATTATCGGTGCGTACTTTCTGTTTTCTCTTTATAACGCTGGCCGACATCCGCGCCGCCCCTGAACCGCGTTGTTTGAGCCCGTTTGAGGGACGGGCTCCGCTAACGTTGGCTAAACGGCTGTCGGGCCGAGAGGCCAGTGAGCGTTAGCCTCGAGTTTAAGCCGAGCGCGCTCCGCTCTCAGCTTCGAGTTTCCGCTCCTTTTTCTGCTTCTAAATTAGTGCGGGTGTCGCTGTGAGTCGGAACTGACTTAATTCGGCTTCTTTTGTGTGATATTTTCCGAGTTCTCCGACGAGAAAGGCCGAGCTAGTTAGCCTAGCCGTGCTACTTTTAAAGAGACGCTGGTTTTAGCCAATCAGCACTGGAGGATCTGCATAAAGGGGCGGGCCGGCGGCAGTAGGCGGGGCTTGTGTTGTTTATACTGTACACGGAACGTTTTTTTTACCGTAATAGTTTGTTATTTTATGAGAGAATATAAATATAAGCACAGTGGTCGAGATGGTGGTTTCATGGGAGGAAACTATGAAAGAACTCAATTCCACCTTTTATTAGACCGTCGAGCTCAGAGCTCAGTTTTAAGAAGCATCTAAAAACGTGTCTCTTTAACTCAGCGTTTAATTAAAACTCTAAGTCTCGTGGTTTTTATCTTTTAATTTGATCTGTTTTCATTTTCTTCTGATTCTAAATAAATACTAATGATTTCTTGTATAACTATGTCTTATCATCTGTCTGCAAAGCACTTTGAGCTGCCACCGGCATGAAAAGTGCTATATAAATAAATATTATTATTATTATTATTATTATTATTGTTGTTATTATTATTATTATGTTGTTGTTGTTTATATGAATAATAAGCAGCGCATGAGCCTCTTTTACCATAAACGTCTACATATAGTTTATCATGTGAATCTGTGCCCCCAACTACATCACACTACTTTGATAGAAGTACATTACTGTACCGTGGTATGTTGTAATACTTACATTATGATTAATAATGTTGAAATGTGCTTAAAATGTCCAGATAATATACGTGTAACACGAAATAGCAGACATACTGAATTAGAGCGTTCCTCTTTCTGTCTTGTAGAAACTCCTGAATTTTTGTTATATAACTTTTGATTTAATCAGTCAAGGCATTAAAGGGCCACTCTGGCCAAAATTAAAATAAAAAATAAAATAAAAAAGAAACCATCACTCCATCTGTTGTAAACATGCCTACTCATCACTGGAGAATCTGCATAAAGGGGCGGGTCTGTGGCAGTAGGCGGGGCATATGTTGTTTATACTGTACACTGAACGTTATTTACAGTAATAGCTTGTTATTTAATGAGAGATTGTAAATAAAAGCGCAGTGGTGAATTTTTTTTTAATGGAAAGTATTTAAGCAGCCCCCTGAGCCTGTATTCCATAAACGTGAACATAAGTGTTCATGTTGTTTGTCATGTGAATCTGTGTGTCTAACTACAACGCAGTACTTTGATAAAAGTACATTACTGTAATGTATTATGTTGCTGTACTCATTATCTTGAATAATCTTGAAATGAACTAAAGTCTATTTATCCATATATACTGGAAAAGTGAAACTAGTTTGTATGGCAAATTAGAGTTTTTATTTGGTGAAATGCCTCGATATTTGTTATATAACTTTTGTTTAAACTAGACAAGGCATTAAAGAGCCACTCTAACCAACATAAGAAATGAAACCATCACTCCATCTGTTGAAAACATGCCTGCTCGCCTCCTACAGGAGTCTGAGGAGCAAGATTTACCAGTTTGGTTACTTATGGGCGGAAAATGTTTTGCCTTCTTTTAAGCTGGCTGATGCAGATGGAAGCCTGATAGCTAATATATATATATATATATATGCATATATTTCACATGAGTGTCTTCAATAAAGTGACAGGATATATTGCAGTTGAATGGAATTGTAATAGAAAACAGTTATAATTGATGCACTGACGCAATATATACATATATATATATTTAATAGTGCACAGTATATGCATAACCAACACTAATACAATATACCCTTTTGAGCCCCTTAAAAGAAATTTAAAAAAGAAAACATAATGTGAGTATATCGTGGATCTCGTCAGCACTGACACAATGCGTGTTTTTATTACATAGAGAGCATCTTTAGCCCCTTTTAAATGTATTTAGTGCAGCTCAGTATGTGAATCATCAAATAAAAAGCACATATAGTCAAAGTTTTTGATAATATCTTAGAAATTTTGCAATACTATTACTTGTTTTTGCCTGTTCCATCATTTCAGAAGTCAGAAAAAAATAAATATCATGACTTATCGTGTATCGTAAAAATGTGCTGAATTACTATGTTGTATTTTCACAATGTCATCTCTACATGTCTGTGCTTATCTGCCACAGTGGCTACGCTAGAAGTCAGGACGGAAACATTAAAAGGAAATGAAACCGTGAATTCGAGGCGGATCAGAATACTGCTCAAAATGACAAATAACATTTAAAAATTTTAATTTTAGGCTGGAGTGCCCCTTTAAGAACAGATTCTTATTTACAGTGGTGGCCTAGCAAGTGCCAAAACACACTTGTGGAAAGAGGAAACGGGAATTAACAAAAGTCTTGCGTAAAGTCTGACGTGCTAACAAAAACAAAACGCGTAGCAGCACAAGGCCAAAACAAGTGGAAAGAGGAAATATGACTTCACTGAACACCAAACCAGCAGAATGTGACTTAAGTGTGTTCGTTACTTCTATTTTAGACGGATAGTAATCGTGTTTGACTGGTATTTTGATTTCTTCAGTCAGTTTGTGGAATTATTATGTAAATAAATGTTGTTTTGTTAAGGACTGGTCGGGCAGGATGGCGTCCGACACGCAGAGTTCCGGCTCCAAGGGGATCATGACGTTCCGCCCCACCATGGAGGAGTTCAAGAACTTCAGCAGATACGTGGCCTATATAGAGTCTCAGGGTGCACACAAGGCTGGGCTGGCTAAGGTCAGTGGAGTTCATAATCAGAGTGACCGCTGGAGCTGTGAAAGCACAGGAGGCAATTCAGCTACACGGATTCTAGACCGTTAGAGTCTGTTTGACTGTTTGATCTGCGGCAGAAAACATACAGAAAGATTATACTTGAGTGTGTCAAATTTGTCAAAATTGTAAAAAAAAAAAAGGTAAAAGTGGAGATGTGGAGCCAAAAATATATTTGCTCAAGAATATACAGTCGTGTGTGAAAGTTTTAACACCCCTGGTCAAATTATATTTGGTTGACTGTCACAGGAAACACACTTGTTTAAAAGTATGGCATTTTTTTCTGCACGTTTTAATGCAAAATTAGAATTTTTTCTTAATTTTAACATTAAAATGTGTGTGTGTGTGTATATATATATATATATATATAGGCTTAATGTATAGAAAATGTAATATAAGAAGTAATGGTTGTTTTAGTTAATAAGGAATATTCACTCTATTTTTAACATACAATTTTTTTATTTAGTACTTTGATTGGAATTTATATGTTACATATTTTTATATAATGTTAATTGTATGATGTATTTTTTATTATATAAGTTTGAAGTGATTTTTTTATTAGTATTATTTTTATCATTGTAAGAACTGGACTGAAACAGGAGGATTATATATTCAGACAAGTGTCTACAACAAAATACCAGTATATATCGCAGTTAAATGGGATTATAACGTAATTGGAGTTATAATTGATGCCCTGACACAATATATACATGTTTTTTAAAATTAAAAATATGTGCATGGCCAACAGTAATACAGTGCACCCTTTTGAACCCCTGAAAAGAAATTTTAAAAAAGAAATAGGAGAGAAAAAATCTGTCTATATGTCTGTATAATTTGTTTACTGTTTTGTATATGTTAAATTCAGCAAATAGACAGTAACTGTGTATAAAAATGTGCAGTAGTGTTCTCTGTAGAGGATGTGTTCACTTAATCTCTTTTAGACAATCAACAAAACATGGAAATTTGACCAGACTTTTGCACACGACTGTAAAAGTGAATGTTTTATCAAATAACATCGGAATTGTCTTTGTTTGCTGATGTGTATTGCAGTATTTTCCACCCCTGGAGTTGATCATTATGAATTAAAGCATGTAGTCATTATAATTAAATTCTCAAGCTATTACACAGACCGATCAGCCATAACATTATGACCACCTCCTTGCAGCATTGCTGTGTCTGATCCACTCGTACCAGCACAACACACACTAACACACCACCACCACGTCAGTGTTACTGCAGTGCTGAGAATGATCCACCACCCAAATAGTACCTGCTCTGTGAGGGTCCATGGGGGTCCTGACCACTGAAGAACAGGGTAAAAGGGGGCTAACAAAGTATCAGAGAAACAGATGGACTACAGTCTGTAACTGTAGAACTGCAAAGTGCACCTATATAGTAAGTGGAGCTGATAAAATGGACAATGAGTGTAGAAACAAGGAGGTGGTCAGAATGTTGTGCCTGATCGTACAAGCAGTTCATTCAGTTACATAATAATGCTGTGTACTAATTAAAATAATGCTGCATTGTATTTAATGGACTGATTTGGTGAAATTTGAGATTTTGTTGCATATTGAACAGTCTTGTTATCAAATACAGGGCAGAGATTTAGACCCCTGGTTATTCTATTTTAAAAGCAGGTATCAAGTGTGTGTTTCGTGTTAATTTCTTCCATCCGCAGATCATCCCTCCGAAAGAGTGGAAGCCCAGGCGTTCGTACGATGACATCGATGACCTGTTGATCCCGGCGCCCATTCAGCAGGTTGTGACCGGCCAGTCAGGTCTGTTCACCCAGTACAACATCCAGAAAAAGGCCATGACTGTGAAGGAGTTCCGCAAAACAGCGAACAGTGATAAGTGAGTCTCCTTCTCGTCCAGAAGGCGTCACTCTGTGGTGGTAACCGTGTTACTGAGCCGTAAGCACATGTTCTCTCCCTGCTGTAGGTTCTGCAGCCCTCGATATGACGACTTTGAAGAGCTGGAAAGAAAATACTGGAAAAATGTGACCTTCAATCCTCCCATCTATGGGGCAGATGTGAACGGCACACTTTATGATCCTGTAGGTGACCTCTGAAAAGGGAATTCCACCAATTTTTTAAAATTTCCTACATAATTCAGTGTTTGAGATGTAAACAGAGTGAAGCAGAGTGGTTTGGCGTGAAGTGGTTCAGATGTCTTTACAGTGGTGGTGATAGGAACCAGGGGTCGCCATGACTACAACACAAATATAGACATTTTATTTACTATCCAGAACCACCAGTGAACCGACACGAGTCTTCTGAGCTTTATATGGAATGTTGATGATGGTAAAATGTGTTTTAATTAATAAATAATATATATATTTTTGTGACTATTTTGCCTCACAATGCCCTTCATGTATCCCTCCACCATGCATGGATTTAAAATACATTTTAGGCCAAAATCTCTGTGTAAAACTATCATTAAACAGTGTCTCAGTCATCAGGCAGTGAATTCATAACCATTTCATGTAGTAACTTTCAGTGAGGGAGCTTTTAGAGGTGGACGTCTGGTTCCTATCACCACCACTGTGACTCGGTAAGTTTCTCTAGAACAGAGCGTTTCACACCAAACCACTCTGAATGAGCTGGGACCATTTATTTATGCAAAAAAAATTTAAAAAGCAATGGATTTCCCCTTTAAAAGCCTTTTAAAGAGCTAAGAAGGATTTATGAATCATTCTTTACACAATGTAAAGGGCAGATGGTGTTTGGCTGCTGTTGGAACGAAACCTTGTATCTCCAAAATGATAAATTTTTTAACCCTATGATGGTAAAATAGTGATAAATCTGAAAAAATAAGTTTTCTTTGGCGATTATTTTGCCTCAAAACGTCCTGCGTGTGTCCCACCACCATAAACGATGTTTTAAAAATCCTCATATGTTTCATATAATAACTTTCTGTGATGTACCTTTTTTGCAATTCTTCCCTCAGGATGTCGACGAATGGAACGTAGGCCGCTTACACACCGTCCTGGACACGGTGGAGCACGACAGCGGCATCACTATAGAGGGAGTGAACACGCCCTACCTTTATTTCGGCATGTGGAAGACCACGTTCGCCTGGCACACGGAGGACATGGACCTCTACAGCATTAATTACCTTCACTTTGGAGAACCGAAGTCCTGGTAAATCTCATTTCAGCTGTCACATGTTGTTGTTGTTGCTGTGATGAAACCTTTTATCTTGGAAATGGTAACTGTTAAAGGGCCCATATTATAGAAAACCTAATTTCCTCCTGTTTTAAAGTAAAAGTTTGATGTAGTGTGTAGACACTCAGTACGTTTATGGGGCATTCGTGGGCTGGAGGTTAGGGAACCAGCCCTGTGACTGGAACGTCGCCAGTTCGATCTCCTGAGCAGACAGTATGTGACTGAAGCGCCTTGAGCAAGACACCTAACCCCCAACTGCTCCGCGGGTGCTGTGGATAGGGCTGCCCACCGCTCCGGGCAAGTGTGCTCACTGCCCCCTAGTGTGTGTGTTTACTAGTGAGTATGTGGTGTTTCACTGCACAGATGGGTTAAATGTGGAGGCGAATTTCCCCGTTGTGGGACTAATAAAGGGTAATTTAACTTACGTTTACATGCACTCAATAATCCGATCATAATCTGATTTCTGCAGTTATCTGATTATTCAAACGGTCATGTAAACAGCTCATTGCCTGATTGGAGTAAGGTCTAGAGATCCGATTAAGAAATCTGATACTCTTACTCTGATTTCTTTCGGATTTCTCAGTCTGAGCATGTGCGAAAACAGACGGCGGTACCGGAAATAAGCGAGCAGCGTCAGCGCGAGATGCAGCAAAACACTTCTGGAGTGACGCTGAAACCAAATACATGCTTGACGAAATGAAGGATTTAAATATTCTTCATCGTTTAGATCAGGGGTGTCAAACTCAACCACTAAAGGGGCCATATTAAAAAATCTCAACTTATCAGTGGGGCAGAGAACGCCTATGTTTTTCTTTCATTTAATTAATGTTGTGCTGTAACCTGAACTGGCTACAGTTTGTTCAAAATACACAAAGACTTCAGTAAGCAGGTGCAGTAGAGCTTGAAATATGTGAATACTTAAAATATTCCAAATTTAAATGTCCACAGGAGCTCCGTCTTTTAAACCTAACCATTTGCTTGAACTTGACAACTGGCAGCCTTTCTTTGCTGCAAGTTCATTAAGACTTAGGCTCAGTTTCTGAGCTGCTGAGCTGATGTTCGGTGTTGAACTGCAGCTGAAGTGCAGCTAGTGGGTTTGGTGATATGACCGGTGTAGAATTGTGTAAAACTGAAGTGTAACTGCTGCCCCATAGACTGTAGTTGGGGTAGAAGAGTCAGAGCGCACATTACGTTGCAGTGCATGCTGGGGACTGTAGTGCAGTGCATTGTGAAACAGGCTAATATTAATAGAAAATTAAAATGCTTTTGCGGGCCGGATAGGATTGTGTCGCGGGCCTGATCTGTCCCATGGGCCTTGTGTTTGACACGACTTCTAGATGATGTATCTTCATATTTTTGGGGCGCAATGTTTTTTAAAAAAGTTGCCGCATGAAGTTTGAGTTTTATTTTACGTTTACTTCACGTCTCTTCTTCTGTGAGTTTATTGGCTGGTTGTAAAGCAGAAATCCGATTACTGCCTGACTCATGTAGACCTGGAGTTTTCCAAGTACTTAAGTACATGTAAACGTGGTGAACAGAGTACTGACAATCTGTTTTTCTGCAGTTATCAGATGATGAGGTGCATGTAAACACACTCAGTGTTAGTCTTTCACTCCTCAGTCCATTCAGCCCATATATGGAAACGAAACTGCAAAAACAGCCCATTTTGAAGTCATTGTTTTTGTGTTCTTATGAAAGACGATTCATTTACATATATCCCCCTTTTTCAGCCTACAGCAGTTTAGCGCCGCCCATTTATGGTGAAGTTATAAGTGTTTCGGCCCAGCATAGGGCAGCCAATCAGAACAGAGCTCATTTAGTCTTAAAGGCGCAGTATCACAAAAACAGCCTGTAAGAGCTTTAAAGACAGGACAGGAAATTGATTGCAGCTGTGTAAGGTATGTTAAAGCATACGAACGTTATGAGTGGGTGTTGTATGGGGGGAGTAATAAAATTCAAGAAGTATGTAGGAGTTGGGCCCTTTGAGTATAAATTAATTTTGTTTAATTTAATTAAATTTTTAGTTTTTAATATATTAGATTTAATATATTAATATATTATTTTTTATAAATATATTTAGAGAGCAGGAAAATATTTTTTTAATTTTATTTTTTAATAGAAAAAATTTATTGGACCATTTTTCTCTTGTTTTTTTTTATAATTTAAAGAAACAATCAGCAGCAAAATTATTTTTTATTTTTTTATTTAAAAAATAATTGGACCATTTCTCTTGGTCCGTTCTTAATCACACAATGTAAAGAACAGCTGCTGTTGTCAAAACAAGATAAAAAGAAGTGTAAAAATATTGGAGTTGCACGGTTTTTGATATGGCAGCAATGACATCCTCAAATGAAGATGTTTTATTTTACAACATATTAAGGGCTTCGACTAGAGATTTATAAGAAGCTAATTATGCAGTTAATGAATCACTTAGAGAGCAGAACGCCAAAGTTACATAATGAAATGCACTGATAACTTATTCTTTAATGCTCTGTCAGGTATTGTGTGCCTCCAGAGCATGGGAAGAGGTTGGAGCGTCTTGCCAAAGGTAAACCCTTAGAAATATATAACCTCCCTCATACAGAGATTATTTTAAATTAGCCTCTTTTGACATTTTACCCATTTCTTATGCAGGATTCTTTCCTGGAAGTTCACAGAACTGTGAAGCTTTTCTGAGGCACAAGATGACTCTCATATCTCCGTCCATTCTGAAGAAGTACGGCATCCCATTCGAAAAGGTACCATATGCTTTGGTTTCATCTGTTTTCAGCACATTTGAACCTTGTTTGCACTTTTTGACACCACATGATCCACAGCATGTTGTGATGTTGCCCGTTTGTGTTTCAGATCACTCAGGAGGCCGGAGAGTTTATGATTACGTTTCCGTACGGCTACCATGCTGGCTTTAATCACGGCTTTAACTGTGCTGAATCTACCAACTTCGCCACACAGCGATGGATAGACTACGGAAAGCAAGCCGTTCTGGTGAGATCATTTAAACCTGGCTGTTTGGCCCAGTCCCATTTCACCCCTCACCCCTACCACTTAGCCCTACCCCTCTGTTTTCACGTTTAGAGGTAGGGTGTCCCGATTCTAGGGCAAAGTGTTGGGGCTACATGGCCGAGGCACACTCCAAGGCCGAATCCCATTTGTTATTTTTACCCCTTGCCCCTCGCAACTGAGTTACAAGCGGTAGTGGTTGAAATCTTAATGTGGGACCCTCAAATAAAAAGAGCATCACTTCATTAACAGCTACCAGCGCTGCTCTGTAGGCGACCCTGCCAGTCTGCAGTGACAGCAGAGGAGGGTAAAGTTCAGCTCCTCACTGCTGGGCTTTAGTTACATTTAGGGCATCATATGCCTTCAAAGAGGGGGGCAATTATTTATTATCACCCACCCCTAATTCTTCAGTGATATGAAGCTGAAGTCAGATATTCACCAGATTCTTGTTCAGATTTTCCGTTCCACCTTAAATGGAGTAGCGGTTACGTTCTGAAGCTTCAGGTATCAGTAATGCTGGATTATTTAAGGTGGAACGGGAAAGTTAGCTACCAGCTATCGAGACACTAGCATGCTAATAGTGATTTTTAAAGCTTGTTATGAAGAAAAGGACCATAATACACTGAAACGATATTAAACTAAGATAATACAGTGGTTATCATAATTTTTAACAGAGAAAATTCTCACATTCGTGTGTTTCTTTGGTCTCTTGTTCAGCCATCTTGCCGGTTTTTCTTTTTTTCTCATATCACTCTGTTTGGAGTATCTCTGACAAACCTCCGTTTGGAGGGTCATGTAGCTTTAACACTTCGCCCTACCGCTTTATCTCAACAAGAATCGGTGCACTCTACCCCTAGACGTGAACACGGAAACAGGAGGGCTAAGGGCCCATGAATAGCCCATGTTTGTCTTCAAATAATCAAAGTTATTGAGCATTTTCATAACTTTCACTCATACATATAACTTCTCCCAACAATGGCACAATGGTTTTGGTGCATTAGCATCCCAAGTTTCAGTGAATCTGTATTTTATTGTTTTTTTTTTACACCTGTATTTTCAGCATTTATTTAAGCAATCAACTGATAGGAGCCAGTAGCCTCCCTTGAAATGGCGTAGTTGCATTAAGCCTCTAAAGACATGCTATTATAGTAATGTTAATTACCTTATGAATTGTAAAATAGAGGAGTTCAGTGGTTATAAAATAGTGGAGTTGAGTACACTTGGATATACCAAGTGGGTAGGCTACTAAGTACTATTTTTACATTTTAAAAGGCATTAAAAAACAAATTTCCCTCACTTTTTTTGATGTAGTGTGCAAATATCATATTACACAGTTTCAAGACATGCTGTTCACTTTTCAGTCCTTACAGTCCATCAAAGGAAATCACTTTACAAAAACAGCCTGATTTAAATTCACTATTTCTGTGATGTCACAAGAACTCATTTACATGCATTATATGCTGTTGTTCAGTTGGATCAGTGTTTATTGTTTGGCTTTTTTACAAAACTGATTAGGCAATCATCAAAATAGCTGATCACTGATATAATCAATAGGCCTAATTCAAAGACAAAACTCTTTTAAAAACTCTAAAGCTCTTCCACTGTGTTTGTTGTCTTAACGTGTGGTTGCAGTGCTCGTGTCGGAAAGACATGGTGAAGATCTCCATGGACGTGTTTGTGAGGAAGTACCAGCCTGAGCGCTACGAGCTGTGGCTGGCAGGAAAGGACAATGCGCCCATTGACCACTCCAAGCCCACTCCCGAGGCGGCCGAGTTCATGGGTGGAAAGGGAGGAGACTTCGGCCGGCAGGAGCCGAGCACAGAGATCCACAGTAACGAAGGACAGAAGAAAAGGTTGAAAATGAATTCTCTTCGAGTTTAAAAGTTCATTGAAACTGCAGTATGTTCCCATATTTGTATGCTTGTTTTAGTCACTCTGTATTTATTACCCAGGTTAAAACTTTGAATTATGTTGTTTTGGATCAGTGTGGCCAAACAGAGGATCGGTACGAAGAGGCATCGCGTGTGCTTAGAAGTTCCAGAGGACGTCCTTCCTCCAGATGAAGAGGCCAACTATGGCAAGAAGGGTCGGCTGTCGCCCAGAGCAGAGCGCTGCAGAGAAGACTCAGGCAAGTTGATGTGGCTTAAACTGGCATCACTGTCCATCACTTGGATGAGGCCATGATTTAAACACTGGTCCAGATGTCAGAGCAGGAACACTGATCTGAGATCAGGTCTTGTCTGTTCACATGGTTGTCTTAAAGGCATAGTTTGATCCCAGATCAACATTCTTACTCTGAGAAGCTTGATAAATATGGGCCAAGGTTGACAAGAATCTATTTGGGATGCACAGTGGTAATGGAATCGTATCGGTATCAGCACGTCATTGCTTATCAGCATGACAGATCTTTAGATTTGACTGATACTTCAAACTCATATTTAATTTTATTGAACGGTGGAATAGCAGAATGTTGGTGTACATGAAGAATATGGCCATCGTGCCATAATTCTGCTATTAACTTGGCCGAAATGGTAACTGAAGCAAAAAACGATTGCCTCAATGTGGGTTAATAGGCCAAAACAATTTTCTTGAAAAAATGCAGTTCAGTTTTGTGGAGGTTACGTAGCTTCAGTATGTGTATGTGTCGTGTTTTTCTTGGCAGCACACTTGCAGCTTATTTGCTGCCCATCTTTCTGCTTCCAACAGCAGCCAGTAATGGTCCACTGGGCTTAAGATATCCGTATATCCAAATTTGTTATAAAAAAAAAAAAGCCATCTATTAATCACTTCCACTGACCAGTCTGAACTATGTATATAATTGTAAGTACACTGTAGATCAAGGGTGTCAAACTCAGCTACTAAAAGGGTCGTATTAAAAATCTCAACAGATCCGTGGACCAGAGAACGTCTCTTTAATTTCATTTTTAATTAACGGTTTGCTATAAACTGAATTGACTATTGTTTATTCAAAATACACAAAAACTTCAACAGTAAACTATAGGCACTTGTAGTCGATCTTGAAATATTACAAATAGTTGGTTAGTTTGGTGATATAACTGGTGTGGAACTGTGTAGAACTGTGTGGGACTGAGGTGTGACCGCTGTCCCATAGATTGCTGTTGGGGTAGGAGAGTCAAACACACAATACGTTGCAGTGCATGCTGGGGAATGTAGTGCGGTACATTGTGAAAGGGGCTAATATTTATAGAAAATTTAAATATTTTTGCGGGCTGGATAGGCTTGTGTTGCGGGTTTGACATATGGGCTATAGATTTAGCTTACATAGGGTGGGTATATATGTATTTTGTGACTCACATTGGCGATATAATGTACTTATTTATTTATTTTTTATTTATTTATTTATTTTTTTAATTTTTACCCCAAATTTCTCCCCAATTTAGTCGTAGCCAATTCCACCCCGCTAGTTAGGACTCCCCCAATCACACGATGCCATCAACGCTAGGAGGGTGAAGGCTAACACAGGCTTCCTCCGAGACCTGTGAAGCCACCGCTTCTTTTCAAACTGCCGCTCACGCTACGTCACTGGACAGCTGAACGCGCTCGGAGGAAAGCGCCAACCGCCAGATCTGTTACGTCAGCTAACAGACGCCTGCGCTGACTAGCATCGCGCTGAGTGATGGGGGGAGAAGGGCAGCCATCCCACCCACCCAGAGAGAGCGAGGCCAATTGTGCTCTCTCGGACTCCCGGCTACGGACGGCTGTAGCATCACCAGGGATTGAACTCGCGATCTCCTGATAATAGGGCCAACACTTAGACGGTTGCGCCACTCGGGAGTGGATAATGTACTTATTTATATTATTTGCTTACTATTTGTATCTTGTGTTGTTCTTTAAGGCTGCACAATATATTGTTAATCATTATCATGATATTGGCTTTTGCAGTACTGAAGGCTGGCAGTGGCCCAGTATACTGGCCTGCATAACAGTATCTTGAAGGACAATCTTTAATGATGTCATACTAAAGATTAATCATTCTACATTATTGATTCTTCAGTGCATTTTAATGTATTCCAAGGCATGTCGCTGTTGCAGATGTAGTATTTTCTTTATATCATGCACCACTGTTGTCCTGTTGCTCGAGCACTCATTTCAACTAGACAAATCTTGGTATATCCAAGTGTACTCAACCAATATTCGTTCAGATTGTGATTCAGATGCATCTAAATGCATTTCTTTCCATTTCAGACTCTACCGAGCAGCCGTCTGTGAAGATGCCAGACAGCAGCAGGTGCCCCGTGCTCGGAGAGCGTGCCCAAAGCACAAGCTGCGTTAAAGCCGACAACACCTCTGTAACCTCAGCCCTCTCCTCAGTCTGTCTGCAGCCTCTCAGGAAAAACCACCTCTCCATAGCATCGGTGCCGACAGCCCCGCACTGCCTGTCCGCCCTGCCTTGGACCTCCTCCAAACCAGGTGTAGCCAGCTTGCTCTTCCACAGGACTTTAAGTCCATCAGATGCTTTGCAGGTCCACAGTTATGCAGCAAGGACGACCGTCTGTAAGCCTCAAGCTCCGAGCACAGAGGACGGCTCGAAATTTGACCTGGAGCTGGACACCAAACCAGACCTGAAGCCCAGTGTAGAGACACCAGCACTGGACACGGTGGAGGTTAGCAGCCCTTATGTAGCTTAAAGTGATAAAAATGAAATTTGCACAGTTTTTCTCTTCTCCTAATTGTAGTTCATCAGATAAGGCATGTTTGGTGTCTGACATTTGCCTCTTTAGTGTTACATTGGAGCTGCAGGCCATGTCAAGCTCCAGTCCTCACGGGCCAAAACACTGCGAACTTCAGCACACTGCCTCATTAAACACACCTGATCCAGCTCAGCTAATTAGCAAGGCCTTCATGAACTGAATTCAGAGTGTTAGATGAGGGTAAACGCTGATCTCTGCAGCACTTTGGCGCAGAAGGTCACCAGTTTGACATGCCTGAGCTACAAGGCCGATGTAGCTAACAAGTGATGGAAGCTTACGGCCATGAGAGACAAACAAACTACCTAAATGCCTAAATGAGCTGTGCTTGCCTCAAACCACGTGGGGTTATTAAGTAATCCATAACAGGACAGAAGTATTGCATGAATTCGATATGTGAGAAGTTCATGTTTAAGTAATGATTTACAAAACATGAAAGTGACATGAAAGGACGCCTAGATGAAAGCAAGTTTCCAGCCTTGCCTTTCACGTTTCAGACTGATGCAGTCTTCCTGGGTTCCACACAAAAGCAGTTAGTCTAAATGAAACAAACATATAAAATCAGCCTCTATCATAAACAAAAACAGAAATGAGCAAAATACTCAAAATAGTCAAATACTCAACAAAAGAAACAATAACCAGTAATAACCTGCACTGAAAACTTAAAATGTGCTGTAGGTATTGAAGCGAATGGCTTTGTGTTTAATTTTTGTGCACAAATGCTGAGAACTTACCTTTTAGGGGAATTCTGCCAGTTTTTAATTTTTTTGCATAATTCAGTGTTTGAGATGTAAACAGAGTCATTCAGAGTGGTTTGGTGTGAAGTGGATGATTACAGAGACTCTGACAGACTCTTACAGTGGTGGTGATAGGAACCAGGGGTCACCATGCCTAAAATTATTTATGGGGTCCTGATTTTTGTCCAGACTTTTGTCCAAAATTCAGGCTTCAATGCAATTTGAGGCAGCTTCATCAAGATTTATGCATTCAGATAGCATCATGTTTACTGCAGGGGTTTAAGCTTCTATTGCAAATTCTATTGAAATGAAATGAAACTTTAGACACCAAACATGTCTCGGTTAAAATATGTAACTTAAATCTTTTTGTTGAACGGTTACTTTAAGACTAAAAATGTTTGCTTCTGTCGCCTCCAGTATGTTTACCTAAATATTTAAATTTTATCATCACACTTTGACATGAAACTTAAAAAAAACAGTGAGTGTTTACATGCACTTAATAATCTGATAACTGCAGAAGTCAGATTTGGTCAGTAATCTGATCAACATGTTTACATGTACTTGAGCAGTCAGATAATGGGGAAACTCCAGGTCTACATGAGTCAGACAGTAATCAGATTTCTGCTTTGCAACCAGCCAATAAACTCACAAAAGAAGATGCGACGTAAACGTGACGTCAAACTCGAACTTCATGCTGCACCTTATGAACATACATCATCTAGAAGATGAACAATATTTAAATCCTTCATTTCATCAAGCATATGTTTGGTTTCAAAGAGGCTGGATTTTAGCTCAGTTATCAGATTTCTCAGTGCATGTAAACTCTTACTCTGATTTCTTTCGGATTTCTCAGTCTGTGCATGAGTGAAAACAGACGGTGGAACCGGAAATAAGCGAGCAGCGTCGCTCCAAAAGTGTTTCGCTGCGTCTCGCGGTGACGCTGCTAGCTTATTTCCGGTTCCACCGTCTGTTTTCACTCATGCACAGACTGAGAAATCCGAAAGAAATCAGAGTAAGAGTTTACAGCACTGAGAAATCTGATTACTGCGCTAAAATCCAGCCTCTTTATCAGATTTCTTAATCTAATTTATTCATCTTACTCTGATCTAAGAAATCAGAGTGTGCTGTTTACACGACCACTTGAATAATCAGATAACTGCAGAAATCTGATTATGATTAGACTATTGAGTGCATGCAAAAGCACTCACTGATTTTACTTAGCAGTGTACAAATCCAGACAAATTAACTTGCATAACCTTTTTGGTTGAGTTGTCCTGTTATGGTCTAACTGTGACAAAGTGTAGGTTGTTTTTTGCTGATTTATTACATTTTTTTATTTTTTTTAGCTGGAAAGCGAAGCCAAGAACGAAAACAAGAGCATGAAGAGGAAGCTGCAGCCTATCAGCAAGGTTCCCCCTTTGTCTCCGCTGCTCAAAGACAGTTCCAGTGATGAAGGTGAGCTTTCACCTCCGTGAACTTCTGTACTGTTGTGCTGGTGAGCGTCTTCTTTCCTCAGTAACCCTTGTGATTATGTAGAGCTGCAGGAGCATCCTGAGCATCCTGAACTGACCGAGCTGACCGAGCTGACTGAGCTGACTGAAGTGGAGGTGGACTCCCAGGAGACGGACCCCTGGGCCCGACTGCTGGCCCCTCTCTGGCAAGACAGATTGCGTAGCTTCAAGGTTGAGAGGGATTACAATCGCCGCGTGGGTCTTCGGCCCCCGTACTGTGCAGTGTGCAGCCTCTTCCATGCATATGAACAGGTATAACAGTATTAATTCACTTCTGTCCCCCCTCAGACAATGAATTCTGAAGTTCAGAATAGAAAAGAAACAGTGGTACCACTTTATTTGGGGTGGAGTGGTCCTTTGTAGATGATTAACAGATTATCAGTAACACATCAACAATTTGATTGATTTTGATTTTGGTTGGTTTGAGCCAAAGAATAATTAAATAACATGAGGACGGGCTCCCGAGTGGCGCAACCGTCTAAGCGTTGGCCCTATCATCAGGAGATCGCGAGTTCGATCCCTGGTGATGCTACAGCCGTCCGTACGTAACAGATCTGGCGGTTGGCGCTTTCCTCCGAGCGCGTTCGGCTGTCCAGTGACGTTGCGTGAGCGGCAGCTCGAAAAGAAGCGGTGGAGCTTCACAGGTCTCGGAGGAAGCCTGTGTTAGACTTCACCCTCCTAGCGTTGATAGCATCGTGTGATTGGGGGAGTCCTAACTAGCGGGCGGAATTGGAGACGACTAAATTGGGGAGAAAAATCGGGTAGAAACAATAAATAAATAAACAAATAAAATAACATGAGGACTATTTTCCAATTAATTGATCTCATTGTTTTGCTGTTTGTTTGTATACTTACATCTCCCTTTGTCACTGCTGTCATGTCTTTTATCTTTCACATTTTGATTTTAATGACATTTGTTTATACAAAGATGGTTCTTCACTGGTTCTTTAGTAAAGAAAATGGTTCTATATAGAACCATGGGCACTCAAAGAGCCCTTTGTCTGATTAAGGGGTTCTTTGCATCATAAAGTTTCTTCAGAATGTGCTGTAGATGGTTCTATATAGAACCTTTTTGAGAAGTGATCTATATAGCACCCAAGCAGGTTCTTCTATTCTTACAATGTCAAGCTTGGAACAATAAAAGAGCCCTTTTGGGTCCTATGTAGAACCCTTTTCAAAAGGTTCTATATAGAACCACCTACAGCACATTCTCCATCAGTCTGAAGAATCATTTCATGATGCAAAGAACCGTTTAATCCTGGATATAGTACTTTAAGTTTCCCATGAAAGGGTTCTCCAGATTGATAGAGAGTGTGTTGTATATGGTTCTATATAGAAACTTTTTAAAAAGGGTTCTATATAGCACCAAAATGGGTTCTTTTACTGTTACGTTGTCAAACTTGTAAGAATAGAAGATCCCTTGTTGATGCTTAATAGAACCACTTTCTTTGCTAAAGAACCTTTGAAGAACCATCTTTAAGTGTGTAGACATGAAGTATGTCAGCCATGTACTGTAGTAAAGATATATCGCCCCATGCTTTATGTAGTGCACTGTGATCTGTTCTAATAACAATGTGCGTCATATAAACGATTTTTTCTGTTTTTGTTGTGTTAAAGATGAATTAAAATGATCAGTTATTTATTTTTTATAAATTATTGATTGTCAAATACTTATTGCAGCTTCTCCCAAACGAGTTTTATGGTGATGACCGTCTCTGTTTGTCTTTGCAGAGTGAGCTGAACAGTTTGACCCAGGGCAGTACTACCACTGAGCAAAAACTCAAGACAAAGCCATTAATACCAGAGATGTGCTTCACCGGCAGCTCAGAAGGACAGCTGTCCACTCCTCACCTGGAGCCGGATGGCACCAGCCAGCTGGTCAGCTGCTCCATGTGCAGCGTGCGCGTTCACACCAGTGAGTGCCGGAGCTACTTCACCTATCTAAAGGAGAATTCCACCCATTTTCTTTTCAGCATAATTCAGTGTTTGAGATGTAAACAGAGGGATTCAGAGAGGTTTGGTGTGAAATGGTTCAGATGTCTTTACAGTGGTGGTGATAGGAACCAGGGGTCGCCATGACTACAACACAGATATAGACATTTTATTTACTATACAAAATCATCAGTGAACCTACACGAGTCTTCTGAGTTTATATGGATGTTAATGATGCTAAAATACTGGAAAACTTCAATAATATCTGTCTGCAGAGCCGAGTTTCACGCCAGCAGTTTCGCTCCAACAGGTTCAAGCCAGTGGCATTCAACACATGCGCCAACACTTGTTTTGTTTTTTCTTTGCCAGTTTTAGGCTTATCAACATTTCAGTCGTTTTATGTGGGTTTCCAAAAAATTCATGATAAATTTGCGTTGGGCTAACGTTGTATTTTAAGCTTTAGGCTGAAACAAACTTTGGTTTGAATGCATATAGAGATTCACAGAGTAAATATTACACAAACTACAGCTTATGTGGCCTGAGTAAACTAAAGGGTTATGTAGACATACAGCTTAATTAACTCACCCTTAATACTGAGCTTTATGTGTACGCTTACATTACATGTGTAGGAATGCAGCTTTACCTTAAGCAGCTTAAACTGCACATAATACTAAGCTTTAGGCTAAAACAAGCTTTAGTTTAGAACGAATCCCTGCTAAAAAAAAAAAACCCATAGAAATCATTAAATGTTTCTTTTGGTTTCTGATGGTTTAGTAACATGTTTATGGTTTAACTGGTTACCAGGGGGTTGATTCGTATACTGGCAGCGGTCTCCCTTCCTGAATGGTAATATACATGGCAACACATACAAGCAGCACAAACAGTTGTTGTTTACATCAGAGACTTTATAGATGAGGAGACCAGCCACTGGTTGCAAATTGAATGAACTTTCCTATAACGACTTTGTTTACGTGGCACAATCGCGCCGTCCTACCGCCCATGCGCTCCACTGGCCTCAGACCGCTGGAGTGAAATTGCAGGTGTAAGTCTGCGGCTCTGCATTCAGACCCTTCTCGAAAATTTTAAGAAATAAGCTTCCTTTGAGGACTATTTGGTCCGACTACGCCCTGCATGTCCCTCTTCACCATGAATAGTTTTTGGGCCAACTATCGTAAAACAGTGTCTCAGACATCAGGCAGAGAATTCATAACAATTCCATGTAATAACTTTCTCTGAGGGAGCTTTTAGAGGCATTAAACTCTTCAGACATCTGGTTCCTATCACCACCACTCTGAACAGTGCTAGGAAATTAAATCATGCTTACATGTGTGTTTTTTTTTAAATGAACTAAGAGCTTATTCTCTTTTCTCAGGTTGCTATGGGGTGCCTCGAGATACGAATTTAGAAGGCTGGAGGTGTGCCCGCTGTGAGGCTAACGCTTTTACTCAGGTGAGAACTTGACATAATTATGTTATTGTGAGGTTTGATTTCAGCAAAAATGCAAGTAATTACTCTGTATTTACGTTTACATTGTCAGAAGAGTTTCCTGTGTAGAAGTAAAGGCAGTAACTGTCTTTATTTTAGAGAAAGTGTGCAGGAAATGAGCTAAAATAGGAAACACTTTCATGCCTGTGTTATTACTGAGCATGTTTTTTCCGTCGTTCTGGCTTTAAGGCTGACAGGGTGGGTCAGCTGGTAATGCCAGCCTGGCAGCGGAGCTACGGTGCTAGAAACCGAGTAAACAGTCGGAGAAACGAAAGTCCTTGGCAGCAGAAGGTTGTGCTAAATGTAAACACTGTTACTAGGAAGAAGCTTGTTACACCAGACAGCATGTTGGCTCAAAATGTGTCGTTCATATTGGGTTGTACAGTATTATATTTAAAGGTAATAATTCATCTACAATAATTTGAATTATAATCAATATGTAGCACTTTATGTACTACAAAGCTATAAAGTGTATTTGCATACTTGCATTTTCTCTGTGCGCAGATTTGCATAGGCAGATTCTAAAAGAACTGCAATACTCAACACATTGGGAATTTAGGACATTGGAGAACTTTTGCTAAATATTTTCTGTTTATTCCATCCAGTTTTGAAATGCTAATTGGCCAGATGCCAATTTATTCATTGATTCATACATTAATTCATTCATTCATTCAGCATTTGTTTAACCTGGATAGACACTGTTAAATTAAGTTTTAAGAACCCAAACAAAAATTAAATAACAAAATAAAATACAGAACATAAATCATAAAACAAGGTTAACTTTAAGGACTTCACTGAGGGGAAGGTAATAACAGCAAATATAATGTTGTGAGATAATAAAACGTACATAACCATGCAACATGTTTGTTCTGTATCACTTTTACTGGCCTGTTTTGAATAAATCAGCAAATTGAGTATTTCAACATAAAGTCAGTTATATATTTAAATATGTTTTGCTTAGTTTAGTAGCTTAATTAACATGTTTCAGTAAAATCCGAGTACGTATTTCACAGTTCAGTCACAGCAGCTCACTGCAGTTTCTGGAAACTGGCTGCAGAAAACATTAAGCAAAAGGTGCTCACACTTTACATAACCTTTAAGGTCTGTCTGTCTATCTGTCTGTCTCTGTCTGTCTGTCTGTCTGTCTGTCTATCTGTCTGTCTGTCTGTCTGTCTATCTATCTGTCTCTGTCTGTCTATCTGTCTGTCTCTGTCTGTCTGTCTCTCTGTCTATATTGTCTGTCTGTCTTTCTATCTATGTCTGTCTTTCTATGTATGTCTGTCCATATTGTCTGTCTGTCTGTCTTTCTATCTGTCTGTCTGTCTATCTATCTATCTATCTCTGTCTATGTGTCTGTCCATATTGTCTGTCTGTCTATCTATCTGCCTATCTCTGTCTGTCCATCTATCTGTCTGTCTTGTCTGTCTGTCTCTCTGTCTGTGTGTCTGTCTGTCTGTCTGTAATAATAATACTAATAATAGTAATAATAATAATGGTTGTTTAGTTATTATAATAATGATGTTTATTATTAAGCACCTTTCATACATTATAAATGCAGCTCAAAGTGCTTCACAGTACAAAGTAAAAACAACAGAGGAAGAAAAGATCAAGAATAAAAACAAAATACAATAAACCAGCAATAAATAGCAGAAAATGGATATATTAATAAATACGTCTGCCTATCTCTGTCTGTCTGTCTATCTGACAATCTGTCTATGTCTGTCTATCTGTTTACCTATCTGTCCGTCTGTCTGTCTTTCTGTCTGTCTGTCTATTTATTCGTTCATTCATTCGTTCAGGCTAGCGATTGCAGGGTGGTCTAAGGAGCCACCACCTTCAGAGTCCTTCAGAGATTTTTCTGACCATTAGAGGGCGACATCATACCACACCACGTTACATACACACCCGTCAACAGTTAGTTTAAATAAATGAGCAATAAATTTACGTTTAATTACAGCAAATCTATCGCACAATAAAAGTAATCTAAATATTTAGTGTTATATATGTGTGTGTTCAGCTGATTTCTATTTATTTGCTGAATTTAACATCCCTCTTAAAAATGATGGTTCTTCAAGGGTTCTTTAGTAAAGAAAATGGTTCTATAAAGAACCATGAACACTCAAAGAACACTTTGCATTGTGAAAGCGTTCTTCAGATTGATGGAGAGTGTGCTGTAGATGGTTCTATGTAGAACCTTTTTGAAAAGGGGTCTATATAGCACCAAAAAATGGTTCTTCTTTTGTTTCGATGTCAAGCCTGTAACAATAACAGAACCATTTTGGGTGCTATACAGAACCGTTTCTAAAAAGGTTACATATATATAGAAACATATAAAACACACTCTCCATTAATCTGAACAGCGCTTTTATGATACAAAGAACCCTTTTATCATGCAAAGGGTTCTTTGAATGTTCATTATGGTATCGAAACATTTTCTTTACTAAAGAACCCTTGAAGAACCATCTTTTCTAAGTGTGATGTTTGATCTAAGTGATTTCAGTGTGCTGAAGTGTGTTCTCTGTAGAGGTTGTGTTAACGTATACAATACAATACAATCATTTGACCAGGGGTGCCCAGACATTAGCATACAATTGTGTAGTAAATATTTATGACCTTAACTTAAATAATACACCTTCATTTAAAAAAAATCAGTGTGTTTTTAGTGACGTGTATAAAATTAAACCTGATTAATCATTAATACGTTTAGTTATTGCAGCTCTACCAAAAATGCTCATGTGAATTAAACACACTTCTTCGAGAAGGTAGCGGTTACCAGACCTCTGACAGGCAAGGCGCTGCCTGGTGTCCACTTCCTGTAGTTCTGAGGGTTTTTCTGCTCTGTGTAATGTGTGCTTTGTGACCTTTTCCGCTGCAGGACTGCTGTTTATGTTCTTTAAGAGGAGGAGCCCTGCAGAGAACCAGCAATGATAAGTGAGTATCACATGCACATGCACACTCAGTGGAGCAGGCCGGGTGAATGCAGCCCTGACGGCTTCTGTTATCTGTTTTTCTGTGAAATGGCTTGTCGTGACGTGTTGCCTGGTTGTTTAGGGTTGGTACGATAGCCATTTACTAAAAAACAACAAACGCAATACTGAAGGAGAACGTCAGGATTTCTCACTGGCTTTAATAAAAACCTCTCTGTGATTTTTAAATGAATATCAGCCGGTTGTACCGCGTGCCATTCGTTCACTGTGATCCTCAGTAACAGGCTTGGCTGCATTTCCCATTAGACTGCAGGGTGGAGAAGCTGTTCAGTGCAGTACTGAACATGATCTTGCGCAGAATCGAGCTCTTAGTGTTGCGTCACTCTCTGGTGTGATGGTGGTTGCAAATATCGCAACAGCACGTTTCATATTGTTGAGAAACATGCAGCTTTATCACACCACTGAGACGTGCAGATCAGCTCAGCTGCTTTGATAACAGCTTGGAGAAATATGGGAAGTAATAGAAGCGTATTTAATGTTGTTATTCGCTGCCTGTAAAAAATATTTTATTTAGGTTTTTGTGAATAAGGCAAAAGAACAGTATGACCCCCCCAAAAAAAAGAAAAAAAGAAATAAAAAAGCCAGCCAAAGTTCAGAAACTGTACATATACAGCAGCCCATGCCAAAAAAGCAAAATCAGACAAAAAAATAAGTTAAATTGTTTTTTTGGCGGTTTGGAGGAGAAAACATGGAAGTTGAATTACCAAGTGGGATGTCACAGTTCAGTCAGGGTCCCGTACATTTTATGCTTCTCGATTGAACCTGTTGATGCATCATAATTTCTCCAAGTGTGTAGAAGAAACCATTTCAGAAAGCCATATTTTAAACGAGGGAGGAAATTCAGATTTCCATTCCCTAAGAATAATCCTTTTTGCCAGAACTATGCCAAACAATAAATAAAAATCTTACTTAATTTCTCCTTGGAATAATGTAATCTGTGGATAATCTTGAATTAATTGTGGTCTGGCATTGATGGCACAAAGGTGTATCCTCCCACACCTTGTCAGGTAGACCAACACCAAGATCCATCTCCCAGGCGGATTTAAAGGGAGCAGATTTAACCAGGTGTTTAGAATCTGGAGGTTTCATAAAATAAATGCTCCTGAGGGCTGAGCCTGAAAATTGAGTACATTATATGTAACGAAATCTCCAGGTTGAAGATGAAATATAAACACTGCTGGCCCACAGATCTGCTGAGATTTTTAAAGATGGCCCTTTTAGTGGTCGAGTTTGACACCCCCTGTAGAGGATGTGTTAACATATTTTTACTTAGAAAACCAACACAAACATGGAATTTGACCAGCACAACAGCTAACAGACTGTTTATATAAACAAAAGCGTATATAAATGTGTGAAAAATGTAATTATACTAATAAAATCTGTTACTTCTAATAATTTTAATACATAAACTTTTTTTCTCTTCTCTTATAAAATTGACATTTTGAAAATTAAAGGTTTTGTTCCAGCAGTGCCAGTGTATGTATTCATACCCATATTATTTACATCTAGAAATATGTTTATATATATATGTATGTATTTTTTTTTTATATTTAACTGATGCTGCTGCATACCTTATATAGGCCAGTTTATTTTCAATGATGAACAAGCTGGGGTGTTATTTTGGCCACAGATGTTTACTGTGATGTTTATTGTGATATTGTTTTCCTTTAATTAAACCATATAAATGAGGTTAGTCTTTAAAATGTGGTGGAAAAGGTAGTTGTCCCCAAACCTTTGATGAGCAGCACATACAGTGAATGAAAGTAAAATTGTTTGTTTGTTTGTTTGTTTGTTTGTTTGTGTAGGTGGGTGCATGTGTTATGTGCAGTCGCGGTGTTGGAGGCGAGGTTTGTGAACATTGCTGACCGCAGGCCTGTGGATCTCAGTGGGATTCCTTTGCAGAGGTTCAAACTGGTGAGCACCTTTACAGCTGGATGTGTAGTTAACAGAACAGTAATCAGTAGTTTTACATTCTGTTAACTCATTTGAAGGAACTCATGAACTCAATATTAAGGCAACCAGTCTACTTTTAAGGTTAAAACACAATCATTTCTACAGTGTTTAACTTTCTCTTAATATAAATGTTCCAATTAAAGTTTTTTAAAGTCAAGAACCATTTAGGAATAATATTTTTAAGCGTGTGTCTATATAGAGTTATACAGCAAACCACTAAGCCTGGTTGAAAACGATGGCCTCTTTTTCACTGTCGGGCCAAATGGTTCTCAGGGCTATACTGGGCCGTTCCGCACTGGTCCGGACTCGTGAGACGGTTACGGTTTCTTTTTCCACCAAATCAGAACCAGGAAAACTACACAAATGAGTGTCTTAAGAGCTAACAGGCTAAGAGCTATATACACGCCACCCACCACAAAACCCGTTTGATTCTGTCTGTCACTCCAAAACCAGTCTCTCTCGGCGCGCTCTCAGATTCTGCATCCTCTGAACGGGTTTTATTTGAGCATCAGTTACTGAAACAGCCTGTACTGCTGTGGGTTTCACCTGGAAAGCATCGCCGGGCAGGGTACAACTCAAATCACCACAGAACAGTTCTGTATTTTATCTTTGTCTCTTTAACAGCGGTCATTTGAATCTAGCAGGCTACAGCTTAAAGCTCTACCGAACAGGTCTGATTTCGGCTTTCTCTCACTCCAACATCGGTCAGTCGACTTTGCTCTCGCTGTTATAAGGTTTTATCATCTGTACGTGTGGTAATAGAGCAGTTAGTCAACTCGAACCTGCAGCGTGGTGTTTGAATCTCTTTAGCTAAGCTAGGTCAGCTAGGAGAGAGGAGCCAGCTAGCTTTAACTTAGCTAGGACGCTACAGCTCCAGACACCAGAGAAGAGGTTTAATTGCTGCTTTCTGTTCCTCTAACATCAGACACTTGACTTCGCTTGATTAGATATGAGTCATTATTGTCTAAATTTGTGTCAGTAAAGCTGTTGGTCAGAATCAGACCTTTTCTGTGGCAAGCAGAGCTGGCAGTTTTGTTAGGCACGCCGTTTAACCATTAGAAATTGGTGTTAGATTGAAACTTTGACGTTTATGACGGTGGATTTAAAATCATGCGCGGCTTTTATTTATTCACTGTCCGTGTGAGCGAACTGAACTTATTATTTTTGGGTTTGAAATAGCGGAGCAGGATGTAGTGGCACAATATGGACATAGACATAGAGCCAGTCAGCGAATAGTCATTACATCATCCCACTGTTTAGCTAACCATGCCGGAAAAACTTGGCTGAGCCCGTTTTTAAAGCGCTCCGTGTCGAACTGTGTCCATGTGGAAATGCCAGTGGAGCGGTTACCCTCTATGGTCAGAACCGTTCGGCCCTGCAGTGGAAAAGAGGCCAATGATGATGAACAATTTTGATGCATATCATTTTTTGGAGACCAAAAAAAAACGCACTCCTGTGCACTCAACCGATTTGATCTACCAGAATGCAGTGCAGGTCTTCACGCAATCAGCATGCATTTATCTGCAGACGGAAATGTGCTGAGACGACATGAAGCCACGTCACTTCTCTCCTCTATCTCTGCAGAAATGTCAGTACTGCAGGAAAGGGATGAAGAAAGCCACGGGGTGCTGCGTGCAGTGCTCCTACGGCCGCTGCTCCTCGTCCTTCCACGCCACGTGTGCTCAGGCCGCTGGAGTGCACATGCACCCGGACGACTGGCCGTTCGTCGTCTTCTTCACCTGCTGGAAGCATAAAGGCGGCACACATGTGGAGGTACGGAAAATGCAGAGTTCTTATAGAGTGTCATAACATTTTTAACCATTAACAACTGACAGTCACATCAGCCAGTAAGGCACTGCACAGCTAATCGTTGTAAAGCACATACTATCTGAGCAGCGCCAGTCATTGAGGAATTGGCCCTAAAATTGTAATAATGAGTCATTATTTTTAAACAAATTTATTAAGAGACACACATTAATGTCATTTTTTTTTATTATTATTATTATTAAGTCTGTTTCAAATCCATACGATCCTTTTTTTAATTATGAGTACCAAATACATTATTGTTTGTCTCTTAGTTGACTGCTGTTCATGTTTACGGCTGTATATAGAAAAACAGCCCAAAAAAATCCCACGTATTATAGCCTATGATTCATTGTCGTCTCCACTGCCACTCTCACCTCTTGCTTTGTGGACCAGAGCAAGCTGGCTAAACAAGCTAATTCAATTAGCTGCCAAGGAGATTGTGACGGAGAAGCTAAGAATTCCCCTAGACTTCTGATTTCCAGTCAAAACAGCCTCTGAGTACCAGTTATTCAGGGCATATTTCTCAGAAGATTAGATATAAAATAATCCACTTGCATAATGAAGGGGAAAGTGAGTTTAGAAAATGATTAAAAGCTACAGAGAAAATGTGGCTCCTAACAACCACCTGGAAGACCTGGTAGACACCAAAACTGCCCCCATCAGATAAACAGCACTTAAAGCTTTCATCTTTGAGAGAGAGGAGAAAATCAAGCTGTTGGACCAATAGAAATGCTTTAAAATCACTTTGAACAAAATCTCTTTACATTGACTTACATTGAAAGCTGAGTGTTTTTGCCTTCTCCTGTAAAGTTAATATTTTGGAGATACTTGTTTTTAATTGGACAGCAACGATATGTTTTCTGTTTTTTCTTCTGACAATGAAAAGTATAACTTGTACTTAATGACAGTTTTGACTGGAAATTATCTAAATGAAGGATCTGACTTTTGCACCGAAACCCCCTGCACTTCCTGTAGTGTATTACAACCAATCAGAACAGAAAAATAGTAATACATTTTTATTTAAATGCGCTGTACATAGTGTAGAGACAGGCTGTGTGTGTTTTGGGGATTTGGAGACCTCTCTGGTGGAAATGTGTAATTGCACACAACATGTGGAAGAACATTTTGTAGCGTGGGTTGTGCTTCGGCCCCCTTCCCCGAGCGGATGAATCTTCTGATTGAAAGAGAATTCAAAGAGAACTCAGTCTAAACTTGGTGAAGGAGCGTCTCTGAGGATGTGAATGAATTATCTACTACTGTGATCAGATCTTCATCAGTATGATGTTGATTTTGAGATCATTCGAGGCCGAAACATCGAGCCGGAGCTTCTTTGTGAGTCTCTGTGTGACGTTAATACGGGAAGACGTACGATGTGGTGTTAAAAACTCGACCCGACGGCTCTGACTTCTAAATGATAATTTCAGGCTATACAGGGCGACTCACCTGTTTTTATTCTCCTCACTTAGTAATGACACTTTCTTTCAGTTTTAACAATAAAATCTTACATAGTGCAGCTTTAAAGTACCAGGAAATGAAAGAAAAAGCACAAGGATTGCCTACGGAGCACACTGACAAGAAAAAAGCCACATTATTCTTTTCATACTAAAGAATTAACCAATAAAGACTAAGAATTGCAGCCACGAGTCAGATAATGAGGGGTTAAATGTTTGTGCTGAGTCATCAGGTGGTCTGCTTTCCTGGCAGTATTGATGTCCTTCTCAGTGGTGAAGCGGAATGATGGTCTTCAGCTGAAGGGATGACCACAGGTTGAGCTCGGACACAGCGTAACCGTAGAGGAGCCGGGCCTATGTGTATATTTATTATCTTTGTTGTGGATGTGGATGTCTCTGCACATACACATGTTAATATTCCTCAGCACAGGTGGACAAACAGGATCTTCCTTAGCGTGTTGTTTTTTATTACAGTTTATTACAGTTTTATTACAGTTTTTGTAATTGTTTAGTTAATAGTTCTGCTGTTATGGTTTTGGAAGTGCATATTCAGCTGTCGCCACTACAAACTTGTGCTGCACACCTGACCTGTTCCCAGGCAGGTTAAAGCCTCTGTCTACTCATTTTCATGAATTTTTATTATCTATAGTGTTTTTTCAGATTACTTTTTTCTCCCGTTTTCTTCAGTTCGATTTGATTTGGGTGGGACTTAATTGGGTGCAGGTGGCGTCGCTCTGCCAAAGTGTACCAGAGTTAGCAGTACACTGTATGTCCACAAGTTTGTGGACTCGCTTTCTTATTAGTGAATTCAGCTGCATTAAGGAGCACCCACTGCTGACACAGGAGTTTTTAATGCACACACAGCTTGTATAAACTCCATAGAAAAGCACTGACCAATAGAACAGGATGCTCTGGAGCAGCTGCACATGAGCCTAAGGTCACCATGTCCAAAGCCAAGTGTGGGGTAGAGGGGTATGAAGCCTCCCAGCATTGGGCTGTGGAGCAGTGGAACCGTGTTCTCTAGAGTGATGGAGCTCCATTCAGTACATTTGGGATGAGTTGGAGTGATTCAGAACTGAAAACACTCTCTGATAGGTCGAAGAGTCAGGAGCACAGCTTCTGATTGGTCGAGAGACTCGACCCAAGGCGTCAGTGGATGGCTAACAGCCCTAGTAACAGCAATAAAAACTCTTTTCCACCTGGAGAAATGGATGAATAATCACAGAAGACATTCGGTGTTGGATTTGTCATTATGGATTTACTACCCTCATTTCCGAAAAAGTTGGGAAGATGTGCAAAATGTAAATAAAAACAAAATGATGTGCAAATCATTTAAACCCTATATTTAATTGAAAATAGTACGAAGACAACATATAAAATGTTGAAACTGAAATTCTGTTGTTTTTTGAAAAATATTAGCAATATTATATTGAATTTGATGCCAACAAAACGTTCCAAAAAAGTTGGGACGGGGCAACAAAAGGCTTGTAAAGTAGTGTAAAGCTAAAAAATCACCTCGTGGTTAATTGGCAACAGGTCAGTAACATGATTGGATATAAAAGAGCCAGTTCAAAAGCCAGTATTCATGATGGTACAGGGGGGCATTAGTGCACATGGCATGGGTGATGTGCTCATCTGTGAAGGCACCATTAATGCTGAACGATATATACACGTTTTGGCAACATATGCTGCCATCCAGACGACGTCTTTTTCAGGGAAGACCTTGATTATTTCAGCAAGACAATGTCAAACCACATTCTGCATGTATTACAACAGCATTACTCTGTATTAAGAGTCCTGGTGCTAAACTGACCTGCCTGCAGTCCAGACCTGTCACCACTGAAAACATTTGGCACATTATGAAATAAAAAATATGACCCTGAACTGATGAGCAGCTGAAAATCCTGTATCAAACAAGAACGGGAAAACATTTCACTTTCAAAACTACAGCAGTGTCTCCTCAGTTCCCAAACACTTACGGAGTGTTGTTAAAAGAAGAGGTGATGAAACACAGTGGTAAACAGGCCCCCGTCCCAACTTTTTTGGAAGGTGTTGCTGGCATCAAATTCAAAATGGGCAAATATTTTTCAAAACCAATAAAATTTCTCAGTTTCAACATTTGATATGTTGTCTATGTAGTATTTTCCTTTTTAAAAATGTTTTATATGATTTGCTCATCATTGCGTTCTATTTTTATTTACATTCTGCACAGCGTCCCAACTTTTTCAGAAATGGGGTTGTATTTTTCAAAATCGTTACAATCACACCAGACCCCTCTATGAAACGGCAAAACACTAGCCTTCCGGGAAAAAGTGAAAGTAAGTCTGTAGCATGCAGCATTCCCAAGATGTTTTTTTGTGTACGACGTCCTTTGATGTTGCGTACATCATCGACCTGAGAGGGTTAATCATAGCTTGAATATCTAATCCTGGGCAAACAGACAAAGTTGTGAACTGTCTTTGTAAAACGAGGTAACAGTAGTTGCATTTGTTAGGTTGAGAAGATGAAACTCAGGAACACTGCCTGCGTTTCAGCCTGACAGGATGATGTTGATGTTGCTAATGCTGTTTGTGTCTCTCTCCTCCTCAGCGTAATATGGCGTCTCTGCGGGAGCTGGAGGAGGGACAGAAAGTCATCTGTAAACACAAAAACGGCCGATACTATGAGTGCGAGGTGGTGGAGCTCATCAAAGCCACATTCTACGAGGTCATCTTTGACGACGGCTCCTTCAGCGACAATCTCTTCCCGGAAGACATAGTGGTACGTAATGAGCTGCACATCCCTGACTGGAGTCGGTTTAGAGGGTCGGCTCTTTGCTTTAGATCAGAAGTAGCTTTAACCATGATCAGCCACACCTACGTCAGTCACAGAGGCATTATAGGACCTGGAAACAGGCCTTTCACCATCATTAAATATTAGATGACGATTAATTGCCATAAAACATTGTTTAATAGTCTGATTTCTTTTTTGTTTATTCATATGCAGCTGATTAAGATCAAGCCTAGAGTGGGCAGATTAGCTATTTTGTTTCTTAGCTGTTGATGACATACAAAACTTGAGCTCACATAAACAAATATTGCTCACTGCCGCCCTCTAAAGGTGTTACTGCACCATTCAGGAGTTAAAACTTTTCGTGATGTGTTTTAATTAATGTTTTCTGCTTTCATTTATTTATTTGGCTTTGGCTCAACCCAACAGAGAAGAATGCACCCACATTCTGTTGACGTAAGCATGCAGTTGTGAAAGCTAACAGCTGTGGAAAATCATTGCCGTCAGCTTAAATAATTGGCGATCAGCTCAAATAATTGTGATCGGGTGATTATGCAATAACTATAACCTGGAAAGCATTAGCGTTAGCTCTGTTCAGTTCAGTGAGACTTGCTCAGTGGCGCACGTACACTTGATGGTACCCCAGAGGAAAGAAATATTCTAAATGAGATCAACTCTTGATCTCAGGTACTTCTCGGCACAGTTCAGTCCAGTTTAATATCAGTGAGACTTCAGCCATTTTCCCCTGTTTCTGAAATTTGGCTCCTGAGAAATAAAATTTTGATCACAACATTGTCACACATGTGGCTTAGCTCTTTAGTGTCTGACTCGTCTCGGCCCAGTCTCAGCTGAATAATATTTCCATAAGAAAAATGTGAGATCTCATCATTTAATATTACACAGCTCTGTTCTAGATCACAGAACTCTCTCGGTAATCTGTCCGTGCAGGAGAACTCGCGCTTTTCTCCTTCATCACCAGAACTCACAGTGAAACGCTGATGTGAATCTCCTCTTTTCTCCTGAGGAGGTTCAGGAGAAATAATTCAGAAATCAGTGATCCTACCTTAATATAATATTGAGATCTGCTTTATTTCTCTGAGGCAGTCTTTTCCTCTGGGACACCACTGAGCAAAAGTCTTAGGCAGCCATAAAAATCTCACCAGTGAGTGTGTCTTTGTCAGTAAAACAATATGTAACGTTAGAAAAATACAAATAAACATAAATACAGTAAAACATGAACGTGTTGTTCTCAGTGCAGTTATGTGTATGTAGCTTAGAAGGATGAATCAGATAGATAGAGGGATACTTTATTGATCCTGAAGGAAATTTAGCAGCCAGTTTCAGTCACACAACACAGCACAGTTATAATAATGAGGGTGATACAATATAAAAAAGAAGAATATATACAAAAAAACATCTACGGGCATATATACAACTACAAATATACAAAAATATGCAGTAAGATCTATCCTGAGATAAAAAAGGCAGTGCAATAATGAACGTTCACAGAGCCGCAGGTATATACTGACTATACTGAATAAATATGTGCATATATTGGTACTGAAATGAAGTGTCCAGGTGTGCAAGATGTGCGACAAGGTGTCCATATGTGCAGATAGAGAAATAAACCTGTCATTTAGCCTGAGAGATTCAGTCCTCATCTCTCCTCTTCCCTCTCCTCTCTCCTCTTCTGGCCGCACTGGGAAGAGTTGAAGAGCCTGATGGCTCTGGGGACAAAGAATCTCCTGAGTCTGTCGGTTGAGCAGCTCTGTGACAGCGACCTGCCACTAAACATGCTCCTCTTGTCCGTGATGATGGTGTGCAGCGGGTGGCCATCATCATCCATAATGGAGAGCGGTTTGTGCAGCGTCCTTCTCTCGGCCACCTTAACCCCAGAGTCCAGTTCCATCTCGTCTTTCTCTTCATGCTTCCTCCCCAGCCTGAAAAAGACAGCTTTTTATAGGAAACAGAGGAAACATTACTTCTAATAAATTCTTGTCTTAATTTGAGGCCTTAAAATCACTTTAATTTTTATAATTTCCCCTCCAAGGTATTAAATATGCCACATTGAAATTGCGCTGGATGTACTGTCTGATATTTTTATCCACAATCTCTTACTCCAAAAAACTCCAGCGTGTTTAACCGCTAATCTGCGGTGGTTTATTCCGCAGACGAAACCGGCGCCAAGATTCCATCTTTACTGAGCCGACTGAGTTACCTACGGTTTCTTCAGCTTCGCCAGCTTTTTCCTTCAGTGGAAGCCTTTTTCTCCCCAGCTTTGCCAGCTTTGTTGGATTTTCTTCTCAGCTTTACCATCTTTGTTTGAGTACAGATACATAGGGAGGTGCAGATTCAACAATGGCTGGTTGATGGAAATTAACATGAACCCTGTTGCTCTAATGGCCTTCATTTGCATTAAAACTGCTTATAAAATGTAGTAAAATGTGTTACATTTGCCTAAACCTATATATATACCCTGCAACAGGCCTGTTTGCAGACACTTTGTGGGGCTCAAAGAGAAAAAAGCGCAACATGAACTTGAATTACACTCAGTGAGTGACTGCAGTATGCTGTAAATTAAATTAAAAAGAGACAGTATAATCAAGGGCAGCCAAAAACATTAGTGTTAATAAGCCATCAGTGTGGAAAGCCACAACTTCACTCACTACACCATTTAATCACCACGTAATGTTTACTTATGACTCTATTAAAGAGCTCTACAGCCTTTTATATGAATAAAAAAATTGGCGTAGTTATTAAACCCCTTATTGCTGACGTTATGTGTGGTTTTTGCTCAAAAAAAAACACATTATGGAATATAACACTTTCTTAAAGAGGTTATCAGTGTTTCAGTGGTGAGACTTCCAGTGCTGTGGTGATGAGTGACCAGTCGGAGTTACTGAGGAGAACAAGGCGATCAGTACTGCACCAGAGGGGGGCGCCCAAGAGTAATGACTTTCACAGACCGACGAGCACTATTGATGAGCCTCACCTTGCTGGCTGGAGGAAAAATACAATTATTATACACACCAACCAAGAGGCTCAAAACCCCTACCTCCACCCCCCACACCCACCTCTGGTCTGTCTGTGCCTGTGCCTGCCCTGTAATCAGTGATCTTTCACATACCAGATAAGGTGTGTTTTGGGTTGCAGCTGAACTTGGAAGGTAAGGAGATCTTCAGGATGAGTGATGGCGACTCTTTAGCGCTTTCAAGTGGCTTCAGTTTCTCAGTTGTATTAGAAGAACAACTTTTCCACCAGGAGGCACCTTCCAAAACCTTTCGAATTTGTATGATTACCATTTTTAAACTGATTAACATCATTATCAGCCTTATCAACACTTAATGCGTGGTGTGAGTGATGGGGCAGCGTGAGCGCTACAGCTCGGACGCACTGGCCTTTCATACATACAGCCTTTGTGCTGCGGAGCAGAGCAGCGAGAAAGATATACAGACATTCCTGTTTCCAGATGGGTAAATCAGTCAATCTGCTCAGTATGTGCACGGTATGTTTGTTTATCTTCGACAGCATTCTGACTTAGGCAAAAGTTTACATCCTCACCTTCTGTTCCCGTGACGAGGTGTTCACAATCCCCACTGCCATCCCGACTCAGTCCTACATCTGTCCTACTACAGCTATGAGGGGGGATCTGGCCTTCAAGCTACAGGCAGAAGCTGCCCAGAACTCCAGCGCAGGTTCTCAGAGTTCTCCTCCCTCCCTCACTCGTCTTCCCTCATACTACCACCACCATGTTGAAGACATGGTCTAAACTCACAAATTAAATTGTAAAAAATAGTTTTTAAGTTTGTAAACAGTTTCTATTTAATTTTTATTGTTTTCATTGCTTATTTTAGTGTATTTTGCCAAAAAACGCTGTCGGGTCTATTCTCTAAATACCGCGGCACTTCCGTGCGGCGTCTGGGACTGCATGAAGCCGCTGACCAGTTGACATGGGCGCCGAAACAAAAATAAGCAAGACTCTCCATGTTGCTCGCAGACGCAGTATGTGTGAATTAGGCCTTAGAGAAAACTACCTCCTGGTTTGTACTTGACTTTTTTTTTCTCTTTTTCTTCCAGAACAGAGACTGCGTAAAGCTGGGTCCTCCAGCAGAGGGCGACGTGGTGCAGGTGCGCTGGACAGACGGCCTAATCTACGGCGGAAAGTTTGTCGCTGCTCACATCATTCCCATGTACCAGGTCAGAACATGCAGAGTTCACTGAACACCAAACAAGCTTTTATTTGATTTAAACGTGGACCTTTTCCCTCTGTTGAAGTGGTTCACTTGGTTACTGCAACAGTGCAAGCACCTCTGACACCGCCGCTAACTTCTCCCAGCATGGTGGCCTTGAAAAAGAACAGCCTTGGTCAGCGTCCCACTGTGATTACGTAAAAGTTAGACAAGTAAACAAGCTGAGGAATGTGCTAAACCGACTGTAGCGCAGACATTTGTTCCTTTTCTATCATTATTAGTTTTTTGTGGACTTCTGCAGAGCTCCCAGAGTGCTTTGTTTGTTCAAGATAGACTTCTGCTCTACAGAAAGGCTCTGAGCACATTGGGCAGTGAGTTACAGCAGGAATAAGTCCAGTGGGTATGTGCGTCTGTGTGTATATGCATCGCAGCATTGCCAGTGGAATGTAGCTGGCTCCGTTCCCAGTAGTGCTTCACAGAAAGCCTTACTGTTTCAGTCAGTAGCACTTTTAGTACAAACTCGAGATAAGTGATAAGTTGGGGTGTAAAAATGAATTTAAGGTGGTTATTGAACATGTCAGATTTGGTAAAGATAGGATCAATTATGATTCTATGAATATTCAGTAATGTTTGTGCTCGTTTTACGATTCAGAGTACTAGTTTTAATGTTAAAAAGGAGTCTTGTATTGTTTTTATTGCGTGTATCCCTGAACATGTGTATATATATCTTCTATTTTTAAAGAATAATGCTGTATTATGCCCAAAAAACCATATCACTGTTGTCGGAAGAAAACCTCGTATCTCCAAAATGGTAACTTTACAGGAGAAGGAAAAAACCTACTTTACTTTTAATGTAAGTCAATGGAACCAGACTTTTTTTATGAGTCATTTCGGGTCGTTTCTTTTGGTCCATTCATCATGAAATTTATGTACGATGTAAAGGGTAACAAGCATTTTCAGATTATGTCAAAAACTGAAAAATGATAAAAATGGAGATACGAGGTTTTCTTCCGACAATAGCGATATATCGGTCCGCTGGCTGGATAAGGTTGTTTGCTGCTGCTGGTCCACCCTCGGACCACCGAGATTATTGTCCTGCATACAAGCTCTAACTAGTTTTTAATCTCCTCAAACAGATTTTAAATGCACACTGACTTTTATTTTAGAAAATAAACTTAGACAAATATTACAAACAACTGAGAGAGGAAAAAATAATGACTAGGCCTGATATAAAATGATCTTATAGAAAATGTTGCTGACGCTGTGCTAGATTACAGTTACTTACTAAACTAAGTTACAAAGTATAACTAAAGAAAGGAAGGAAGGAAAAAATAGGTAAATCAGACTGTGAGTGGAAAATGACTAAGTGGAATTTTGTTTAATACTCTGCCTAAACACCGGTGGGCGGCCCAGAAAATGCTGAACAAAACGTTTGTGGACCACCAGCTTTGTCGTGAGCGGACCAGTGGTGGTCCACGCTTTCTGTCAGGGTGGATGAAATCCAGTATAGTCGTGGTAAACTGTGCACTCTCAGAAATAAAGGTACTAAACTGTCTCTGGGGCGGTTCCCCTTTTGTCACAGGGGTGGAACCCTCAAGGGTCCATCTCAGTCCCTTTAGTCAGGGAACATAACTGAACCATAATCCACTGAAATGATATGTTCTAAGCTGTACTGACTCCACACACCCCGTCTCGCCTCCAGCCTTTTATTTTACTGTTCTGTTTTAAAACATTCGGTTATGAAAAGATACAAATACGAACTTTTCACCTGGAAAAACTTATTTAAGGATCACAATCAGACCTTAAACCCACTGTTGGAGCTTTGAGGGAACATTTACACTGTTTGTACCTTGATGAACAAAAAATGTACCTGAACAGAACCTTTATTTCTAACAGTGTAAGATGTCTTGTTCACTGAATAATGACCAATAATTACTGACTTTTCTTTGTTACCGCATCGCTAGACAAAAATATCAAAATTGTTACAAATTTTATGATAAATAAAACAGAAATTATTGCATTTAACTCTAAAAACACAGTTCAGTGAATGCTGTATAGAGTTGCATTGTAAATATGATGTGGGTGAAGTGGTGTGTACAGTTACACTGCAAATGCAAGCAGTTTATTTAAATTGAAACATGCAGTGGATCTCGCGTTCGTCGACTTTGCAGCCAGCAGAGCTGTGATATTAAACACAGATGTTTCCATGGAAGATTGCGGAAAACATCATGAACACATTTAATATCTTTAGTTTTGCTTTCAGTTCAGTTGTAGCAGAACCCACATGAGCATTGCTCTTACTCAAAGCTGCAGGCTCTGAGGAAACTCGCTGTTCAGCCAGACAGGCCTTAAAATAGCTTGTTTTCAATTAAAAACTTCAATGGCAAAACAGTTTGTCTCCAGCTGTGTGTCTTTTAGACTCAGTAAACATTGATCAGTGATGTTATTAGATTTAAATACACTCATTTACTTTGCTTAAAATGTATCTCATTATTCTGGCGAATGTCAGATCTCCCAGTAGTTAACGTATGATTTACATCATAGCTCAGTCAAATTTGTAAGCGTCAGGCCTTAAATAAATACGTTTCCTGTTTTTGTGTCTGTCAAATGTCTCTGGAGACTTTGTGGAAAAAATAAATTTAACCCAAATTGCTGAACTGTATCCACCATATAAGGTACTGTGCAGATGTCAGAGATCATTTATTTAGATTCAGATATTTATTTATCCTTTTAAAATGACCAGTAAGGCAAGCTGTTTATTTTACGCAAGATCTTTCTGAGGAGAAGAAAGTGAAAGGAAAATAAGTGAAAACTGATCAAAAGCTACAGAGAAAATGGGGCTCCTGACAGCCACCTGGAAGAGCTGGTCGACCCCAAAACTGCCCCCATCAGATAAACAGCACTTAAAGCTTTCATCTCTGAGAGAGAGGAGAAAATCAAGCTGCTTCAGATCTGAAAACATCCACAGGTGTTTCTGTCCATCCTTCCACTGTGAGAAGACGACTCAGCGCTGTGGGTCTGAAAGGATGTGTAGCTGTCAAGAAGAACCTCACTGAGAAAAGGAGACGGACACGTCAAACAAAGAAGCTGAACGATGGACTGACCACCCCAGAGTCCAGACCTCAACACCACTGAATGTGTTTGATTACTTCAGAAAATCATCAACCAGCTTCTAAGACTGAAAAATCTCTGCAGAATTCAAAGAGAGTAAAGAGAGCATCCCTGACCCTGTATATGTGTCCTCTATTTTTAAAGGATAATGCTAAATTGTGCCCTAAAAAAGTATATCGCTGCTGTCGGACGAAAACCTTGTATCTCCAAAATGGTAACTTTACAGGAGAAGGAAAAAACCTACTTTACTTTTAATGTAAGTCAATGGAACCAGACATTTTTCCAAGTCATTTTGGGTCGTTTCTTTTGGTCCATTCATCATGAAATTTACACACAATGTAAAGAGAAACAGGCATTTTCAAATTATGTCAAATACTAAAAAACGTCAAAAGTGGAGATACGAGGTTTTCTTCCAACAACAGCGATATATATCGGTCTGCTGGCTGGATAAGGTTGGCCAGACACATCAAACAAAGAAGCTGAATAATGGACTGACCACCTTAGAGTCCAGACCTCAACTTCAATGTGTTTGATCACTTCAGAAAATGATGAACCAGCTTCTGAGACTGACGAATCTCTGCAGAATTGAAAGAGAGTCTCCTGAAAAATGTATTTAGTTGTTGAAGCCTGTGTGTAGTTTTCTCCTAAACGTGTTTCCTCTATTTTTTTCTGGGTGCATTTTGCACAGCACTTCACATTCAGTTCTGTTCACTTCAGCAACTATGTTTGCTCTCACTGTGTTATCATGAACCGCATCTACATCTGCGTTTTCCATGCAGGTGGAGTTTGAGGACGAGTCTCAGCTGACGGCAAAAAGAGAAGACGTGTACTGCCTGGACGAGGAGCTGCCCAAACGTGTCAGGGCACGACTGGTGAGCATGGCTTTCTTGCATTCAGCTGTTATGAGACAGATATCGTCAACCAACCTGAGGTTTAACTCTGACGTGGATTGCCTTCTCTTCTTTTTCCAGTCCGTGGCATCTGACATGCGTTTCAAAGGGGTCTTTGTAGAGAAGGAGGTCAAAAAGGACTCTAAAAGACAGCGGGTCATCAACTCCCGCTACAGGGAGGACTATATCGAACCAACCATCTACAGAGCCATCATGGAGTGACCTATACAGCTGCATTCACACCAAACCTACCCAAAACATACCAAACCACCAGCCTGATGTAGACCACAGCAGCACGGCCCTGGACCTGAAGCTTCAGTTTATTTTTATTTTTTATTTTTTGGGGGGGATTTATCACTTTAAGCACACAGCGAATCATGTCAGTAATTTGAAACAGTCAAAAATCTCTAAAACAAAAGGAATCTGCACACAATTATTAGTCACTGATGCCGTAAAAATACAAAAAAACAAGTAGCGAAGCTGCTTTTCAGGCTCCTCTCTTAAAAATAAAGGTGCCGGAGGGGATGCTGTTCAGGGTTTTATCAGTGGAGAACCGTTCCATTGCGTAGAGGTTCTTTAAACTTTGGTACATCTGCCAAGGAACTAAATGTGGTTCTAATGTGGTGTCGCTCCAGAGAGCCCTTATTGCCACCTTTGTTTTTAAGAGTGATGCTCCCAGAGGACGTTTCACGTCTTAAAAATCAAACTAGTCCGCAGAAATTTACTAAAAATAAGTGAGGACATCAAAGAGTAGGAAGCCTGAAGCCTGAAGTTCTAACAGGCTGAAACGTTTGCTAATATTTTTCTCACTTTGCACCTCTGAGTAGGTTGCAACGTGAGGTGGGCAATATGACAAAGATTTATGGTATCGTGATAAATTGTCACAAGATATGCTTTACTGAGTATATCGTGGATATCGTCTGCACGTTTCATTACATGGAGAGCTAATTAGTCCTGTTTAACTGGATTTAGTGCGGGAATCTTAAAGAAAAATAGAAATGAAATAAAATACTGTACATATATTTTCTAATTATTTTTTTATCAAACTAAAAAATTAAATATGCTGATGGACATCATGTAAAAATGTCTTGTAGTGTTGCTGTATTTTGCCATATCGCCCACCTGACTCGCAACAAGGTGGCAAAAGGGTCACTTGGAGCGAAGCTACAGGACGGAGGCCTTCAAATCCAGACCTCGCGTCCAGTTTGATTTTGTAATGAAATTTTGTAATCACTGGGAGGGAAGATATTAGATGACCAGTTAGTTACATTATTTATGATCACCATTAACTGATAAATCCAGAACCGGATACTGGATTCAAGGTCCAGATTTGAAGACCACGCGAAAGAAAAACCACTTTTGGTTCTCTGAAGAAGAACCTTTTTATTGTAAATGAGATGTGTTAAAGTTTAAACAACCCCCACATAGTATTAAGGTTCTCCATCAATTAAAGGCTTACTTATGAACCATATGTTAACCATTCAACCAATTAAACATTTAGGATCCTTCATTTTTTATTCAGTTATTAGTTTTACATTATGTGGAAGAAAAACACAATGTCTGCACTATTTTTGGGTTTTATTTTATTTTTTTTAGTTAAAAATCTTCAAAACACACAATTCACTCCCCTTTCCATACAGCCTGTCAGTGTAAGTTAAGCTGCCTGTTTTTGTGATGTCACAAAAACCAAGTCATTTTCAACCAAGCCTCTTTTCAGCCTACAGCAGTTTGGCTCCACCCACTCACATGAAGTTATAAGGAGTGTTTCAGCCTGGACTGCTTTTTGAATGAGGCACAATACAAGGCAGCCAATCAAAACAGAGCATATTTACATATATCAGTCTTAAAGGCACAGTAACGAAACCAAAAACAGTCTATTTCATTGTAGGGGATAAAAAGGTTAGAAAATGATCATATAAAAATGAATTCGGACTGTTTTTGGTACATAATACTATGCAGATGTTAGTGGATTTCAGAGATAACCGAAGATTAAGATAAAAGAAAGTGATCGATTATGATTATGGGCCATTTAAACTTGCGCATCTCATTGACAAAATGGTTCGGTAACTCTTTAATTGGACCCTGCTACGTAACATCGACATAACCACCCCATAAACGCGTCATAACGGATTATGTTCAGTAATATAACAGTGTCATGTTACCAGTAACAGTAACTGTCATGACAGATGCTGTGATGTTTGATGTCATGATGGCTAATTAGAGTACACAGCACAAATTTGATGTCAAGACAGCTGTGTCCATGCTATCATTATAACATCTGTCACAATTAGCAGTAATTATAACAGAACATATCAACCTCAGATCTTCATTTTTGTCGTTATTCAGTTTTTGACATCATTTGAAAGTGACAGTTGTCCTTTACATTGTTTGTACATTTTGTGATGAATGGACCAAAAGAAACGGCCTAAAATTACTTCAAAAACATTCTGGTTCCATTGACTTACATTAAAAGTAAAGTAGGTTTTTTCCTTCTCCTGTAAAGTTACCATTTTGGAGATACGAGGTTTTGTTCAGACAACAGCGATATGCTTAGTTATATTATTATACACTATACATTATAAATTATTATTACATTATTGTTATATTTCTGAACATAATCTGTCTCAGTATTTGAGTGCATGTCCTGATGGCCTGCTTAGGTCAGTGTTATGTACCAGGGTTTGAATAGTGTTACCAGTGGTTCTTTAAAGAACCATCCCTCGCTCCAGAGAACCCTTCTGGCACCTTTATTGTTAAACCAAGTGCACCTTTTCATGAATCTTTGCATTTTTAATGTCATTGGTACTAAATTAATTGTGCCAGGTCCTTTAGTTTTAGAATAATTCGAGAAAATCGCGCTGGACTCGTCCACCTTTCACTGCTGCAGCAGTTCTAGGCTCTCGAAACTGTCCCGAAACGCTCTCACTGTGAACAGCGATGTCCTCGGCCCGGGTCACAGATGGAAACCCCGCATAGAAACATGAACCTGCCTCATGTTGTGTTCAAATGTTTGTTTCTTTTTTTCCCCCTTCAGTGCTGGACACAGCTGACCGGTGCCCTGTCGGCTTTTTGGAAGCCTTTCTGGGTCGTTATTAGTCAGATGGTGGTTGTGGACACCCGTGCTTTTTAATTACAGCTCTGCACAACAAAATACAGAAGGAATATTTCATCCAACAGCGCCAACATCGCTAAAAATGAATGGAAAACAATAGCGGTGTTAGCATTTGGGTGAAGTATCCCTTTTAAATCTATGCTCAGATGTCTGTTGGCATGGACGCGGCTCTCCTGCTGACTTTTTAAAGTCTTTTCAAAGTGCTCTGCAATACATGAATCTCATGGATGAATATAATATTTGCCAGTTTGGAGCAGCTTTCACTGTGTAATCTACTGTAAAGATAGGGAGTTTTTTAGGAAGCTGTAGCCTTATATTCTCTGTTGCTTGTTTTTATAGGATTCAGCAATCAAATTCTGAGTTAGATGTCGTCTTAATTTATATCTGTTAAGGTTTAAGGACGGCTGTTTGACTCATTACATTTCTTGCGGTTCAATTCTTGCTTTGTTTGTAAAAAGATGTATTTAAATGTTAAGAATTATACTTTTTTGGTTGTTTTTCCCTTCAATTTTCTACTCTTTTTATGCTGTCAATAGATAGACATGAGTTTTGGCAGTCAAAATCAATGCACTTAGACGTTTCCCCCTCCATTTATTGTGGTTTCTTTAGTAAAGCAGGGAAGAAGTGTAAGCATCCGTTCAGAGAGCTGGGGAAAGTGCCTGGTTTTAAGGGTGTGGTCACTTCCGCACGTTGCTTAGTTCCTTCATTAAAGCAGATTGAGTTGAGTCTTTGGAATTTTTGGCTTCCAGATCTTTTGTTTCTTATCTCCTTCCTTTTGTGCTGATCAAAGGAGAATTCCACTGATGTTTTGCACAGTTGAGTGGTTGAAATGTAAACAGAGAGATTCAGAGGGGTTTGGTGTGAAACGGTTCAGATGTCTTTACAGTGGTGGTGATAGGAACCAGGGGTCGCCATGACTACAACACAGATACAGACATTTTATTTACTATCCAGAACCACCAGAGAACCCACACGAGTCTTCTGAGTTTATATGGAATGTTGATGATAAGTTTTCTTTGGGGACTATTTTGCCTCACCACGCCGTGCATGTATCCCTCCACCATGAGTGGATTTCAGAAAAAAAAACTTTCTCAAAACTGTCGTAAAACAACGTCTCAGTCATCAGGCAGTGAATTCATAACCATTTCATGTAGTAACTTTCTGTGAGGGAGCTTTTAGAGGTGGACGTCTGGTTCCTATCACCACCACTGTGAACAGTTCTGACTCTGGAGTGGAGCGTTTCACACCAGACCACTCTGAATGACTTTGTTTACATTTTAACCATTTAATTATGTATAAATTTTGAAAAGTTGATGAAATTCACCTTTAAGGTGGGGCTGCATTACCTCACCAGGGCTGATATGTACAGAAGTCTGGAGAGACCATGAGCTGTCGCTATAATTTTCTGAATTGTTATCTTGAGATAACGAGTTAATTATCTTGTGACCTCCAGATAAAGTTAATTTGAGATGAGTAAATTACCTTGTCATCTCAAGATAGACAAGTTGTTATCTTGAGATCACAAGATAATTTACTTGCTATCTCAAGATAACTAATCTCGATATTACAGGATAAATAACTTCAAGATGTTTGAGAACAAGATAATTATCACGAGATAATGATAACTAACTCATTATTTCAAGATAACAACTTTGTTATCTTAAGATAACAAGATAATTAACTTATCTTAAGATAACAATTCATAAAATTATAACTACCTTATGGCCGCTCTGGATTCTGTGGATACGGTCAAAATGTAAGTGCTGTGATTAGATTGCTGTGGGTTTCAGTTGCAGTATAATCAGAGAAAACCTGGATCTCCCTCACTTTTCCTAAATGAAACAGTTTGATGTCGTTTGCAAACATTGTTAAACTTTCAGAAAGTTCACATCGATTTCTCGCTCATGCAAACCAAGCCTCAAAAACAGCCTGTTCTTTTTGTGATGTCACAGAAAAGTTCATTTGCATATCTCCACCTCTCCAACCTACAGCAGTTCAGCTCTGTCCATCCACACTGAAGTTACAAGAAGTGCCGAGTGCTTTTTGAATGAGGCTAGCCTATCAGAACAGAGCTCATTTGCATATATCAGTCTTAAAGGTACATTGAACAGCCTGTTTAATTCTAAGGGATAAAGAGAGCTTAGAAAGTGGTCATGTAGAAATGAATTACGACTCTTTTTGGTACAAAAAGTAATTTTTATAAATGTTTATCTGGGGGGAAAAAGTAAAATACAAGAAAAATGTAGGACAGGGGTCGGCAACCTGCGGCTCCAGAGCAGCATGCGGCTCTTTTACTGCCCTGTTGTGGCTCCACAGCTGAATTAGATTAGTAGGTAAAAATAAAATAATCCTCCTTTACAGTAAAATGAAGCTCTGCTGATCGTTCAACACAGTTTAACAATAAATGGTCTTAAACTCTGGAGTTAATGTAGAACTGCTAATTCACCCTTTAACCCTGAAGATCAGCGCAGACTGCTGGTCACCATAGCAACACAGACAGTCTCGCCTAGCTAGTAGCTAACGAAACGGCAAAGAGAGAGATTTAAGATGAACATCGATAATTTGGAGACGAATGGACTGATTTGTGTTTATAATCACTCCAGCTGGTTTCCTGATACGTTTAATCTGCAGCGAGAAACTGACAAACACTAAAAAACACAAAGCTGATGTCGTTTCTCATTCGCCAGCTTCTTGTTCTGATTCTCCCGTTCCACCTTAAATGGTGCAGCAGTTACATTCTGGCGCCTCAGCCACCATTTAAGGTGGAACGGGAGAATCAAGAAGCTGGTGAATGAGGAGCTGTACGTTGAGAGACGTTTTACAAGAAACTATTCTAATTTTGCGGAAAAGTTTCCTGCTGGAGATGCGAGAAAAGCGGCTATAGCTGAGCTAAAGCTTAAAGCAGAGTAAAGCAATATATATATATTTTTTATCCTATATTAGTACATCAGCACATACTGAGACATATTTACAACCAAGATGTAAAATGGACATAAATATTGTGGCTCCCAAGGTGGTTTGACTTTTGTTGAAAGGACAAAATGGCTCCTCTTAACATTTGGGTTGTGACCCCTGATGTAGGGTATGGGCCCTTTAAAGCAGACTTGATCATTAAAATGATTAAATATTAGCCTGTATTAAACCCACAGAAACTCATCTGGAGCTGTGATTGGTCAGGATGCTTACAGCACACAGTTTAAAAAAAGGCTCATTTACATATTTCAGCCTTCACTGCTGCCAGTATTGAGATACTATTAGAGGACGGTATATTGTGCAGCTCTATAGATCAGCTTTGTTCCTCTGCTCGTTTTTCAGGCTCTGCTTGCTGTAACTTTCCATAATGAACCTTTTATGCTCGTCACCATCTATTTGTGACCATCAGCTCTGTCAGTAAAGACGTCCGGCACTAAAAGGCCATCATTATTCTCATTTTTATCGCCGGCCTCTCTGTGCTGAGCACATGAGCCACACGCCCAGTCATAATGACAGCCTTGGACACTGTTTGTGCACCTTTTTTGAAATTGTGTTTGCCCCCCTTTTAATAGTTTAACCACCTTTTTCTTGTAGAGTTTACTTATTTACTTCTTGGGAGTCCTAAAAACAAAAGTCTACCCCTCCCTTTTTACCAAGACCCTGTTTCAGTACTTTCTAAGAAGCCCTGGTGTCACACCCACATTATACATTTTTATACGAAGTGTAACATGATCCTTTACAGTCTGAGAGAAGTAATTAGTGAATATTAATAAGTCACTTTTTTGAGTAAATGCTCCCAAAACTGCCCTAAACCCTGCTATTAATGTGGACATAAGAAGCTTTTTCTGGTCTGGTTGCTCCATCTGACTGACTGATTGCGCTGCCTGACTTTTCAGACTAATTTCAAATTAAACAGGCGTCTACTTAGACACCTGTAGACACCTTTTTCTTTGAACCTGAGTTCCTGATTTTATGTTTTTTTTTCAAATAAATAAACATTACTATAATAATTCCTCATTTTCATGGTTCTCCTGAGGTCAGACCACCTGACATGGTAAACTGAATCTAAGCACGACTCAAAGCACATTTTTACTAAATTTGTAAAAGGGCTGCTAACCTCGGCAGTGCAGCATGGAAATCACTTCTATATGATACAATACGCTGTCCCCTCTGTCAAGTGCATGTCAAAATAAAAGTCCTTGGTTGTGCCACCTTACATTTGAGGAAGAAAAATCTTCCAGAAGTTTTTCAGTGAGTTCAGCAATTTTAAAGTTGCCTTATTTTATAACATGGTTTTTATTTTAAAGTTTTCATACATAAAATAATGCCAAATTATTTTATTTAGAATTTTATATAACTAAATTATCTTTTTTGGGTAGTTTACTTAATAAACATATATGGTAGGACGGTCACAGCATCTGACCATTTTAGACTTTTGAAGGCAAAAAGCAACTAAAATGAATTTTATGTGGATGCACTGTTTCACATAAGAGAGATACTGTTGAATAATTTAATATGTGCCATGTATTAAATTAATTGATTTTGTGGAAAATAATCTACTTAGATTAAAAAAATGTCAGTCAATGACCCGAACAGAGTCATATGCAAAATTTTCAATAATTTGACGTTTCGTTAAATTTCTAAAAAAAAATAAAAAAAGTTCACATCTTTTACAGAAAACACATAAATATGACATTTTTCTGCAAATATTAGTGCACGTTTTCTGTATTTGCTTATTTTAACACACAACTTTTGTGTGGTTTTTGTGACTGTGCCTTTAAGACTGATATACATGTAAATGAGCTCTGTTCTGATTGGCTGCCTCATTCAAAAAGCAGTCCAGGCTGAAACCCTTCTTATAACTTCAGTGTGAGTGGGCGGAGCTAAACTGCTGTAGACTGTGTAAAAGGACATATGTAAGTGTGCTGGATTTTGTGACATCACAAAAACAGTGAATTCAGAAGGCGTTGTTTCTCCGTTCTCTACTGTTTTTCCATGATATGGGCCCTTTAATGGAAACAGAGCTAAGCTGGACCTCGGCACCCAAACAGGTCAAGCGCATAATGAGTTTTATTATTTCCTTCCGAAAGGTTTCTGTGAAAACTGGTCCCACTTCTGCTGCAGTCGTGTGTTTGTTTGAGCCGCCGCCCCCGAAGGTAAGAAGCTTTTCTGCGGAAACCACATCACCTACGAGGGAATGAATGAGCTAATGAAGCGTAGAGGTCGTTTTGTTCAGCGCTCGCTGGACCGAGGCGTGAGAGTTTGTGGTACAGGGTTCGTCCCCAGCGTCCAGCTGCACTGCTGAGAAGCAGCGGCACAATTTTCTCATCCTGCCAATTAGCCCGCATGAGATAATTACCAGTGCATAATAACAGCATGCTAGACTGGACAGGCCTCCAGCAGAGCCACAAACTGTAGTGATATTATATTATAATGAGATTTAAAGGGCCAGTACGCTTGATTTTTTTACCCTTTAATATTAACCAGGCTGTTTTCTTTACTCTTGACTTTGACTTTTATCACTGCTGTCAGACCAAAACCTCACATCTCCGTTTTTGTTTTTAAATTTTTGACATAATTTGAAAAAACCTACTGTCCTTTACATTGTGTGTACATTTCATGATGAATGGACCAATGGAAATGTCCCAAAATGACTTGGAAAAATGTCTGGTTCCATTGACTTACATTAAAAGTGTTTTCCTTCTACTGTAAAGTTAACATTTTGGAGATACAAGGTTTTGATCTGACAGTAGTGATATGTA